TTCCATGATCTGCATACAACGTGCAACACGTCATTTAGTAGGAAACTTTTTTCTTTCCCATTTATTTTTTTACTTTTTTTATAGCACTCACTCCAGTCACGCACGCATTTATTTATGCGGATATACCAGAGAGACTTATCTGCTACTGAGAAGGCACCAAATCATATTTAACAAAGTCATCTCGATTTGCTGGAACGTTAGTATATGCACCGGTATCAAAACACCAGTGATGAACGACAGTCGGCATCCATTGCATAAACTAGCGCTATGCGTGCTTCCTGGTATCGAGTGTCGATCTCTCTTTGCATCCCCACTTTGCTTCTTATTGACTGGACTAGTAAAAACAGGAATATCGAGTTTCAAACATCCTTCTGGATTCTCATTTGATTGACCCGACTTGCATTTACGATATTTTCAGCAAGAGACATTTCTCTCTCCCGGATCCTTCGGGTGCAGTGCAAAACAGACACGTGGTTTTGGAATTTCCTCAAAGTCACGTTTATAATTTACTGTCTTGCCGCAGCTGTAACAAACCTTCATTTTATTCTTATTTCCACGTTTAACCTCACTTTTGCTTTGTCCGTCACCCTTTCTTGACCCTACATTGTCACCTTGCACAAACACTCCTTGGGAAATCCTTCGTTGACGTTCGTACCTGATTTTTTGAACTAGCCGCATGTATCTGCCCCAAGCTCGTACATATCTTTAGCTGGTACATTCCCGAACCAGTTCTGCGTTTGAATTAATCCAAAATCGTGTACCACACTCGGTAAACTTTGCAATTTGTAAACATCATCGTCGTATCCGAGAGCTTGCTCTCATTATCAGCTAGTCCAAGCTCCTTGTTTCTACAGGCTCCTACGATGATCCTTGATGTCGTCTTCAGGATAACAGCGCATTCAGATCAGCTCTTCTTTACGACGTTGTATCGCAAGGATAGTCGATATTGTGTTTGGTCGATTTTCAGGCCTCTTGCTCAAAGTTTCAAAAAGCTTACTTTCAGTCTTCTCCGTCCTATAGAGCTCGGCAAGCTCTGGCGATAGTGGCATCATTATCTCTCGTCGAAGTCTTTTTTTGGCTTTTCAAGCTTGAGGTTTCCTTCATTATTTGAGAGAAACTTCCGGTCGATGTGGCCGCACGCGACATTCCAAAGTTTTTGGTCAATGTCTCGAAGCTACATCGTCTCCATCTCCTTGTAGTTATACTAGTACCTGCCCTTAAAGGCACGTGTCATCCCATCCTCTGAGTATAACTTGTCCACCATTGGAGCCATACTTGGGCTCATAAGCCTGTTGGATATAAATAATGTATGGTTGACGACTTTACCTTAAAACGCGCTCCAAACGGGTTTCTTCCCCCCGCCGGGGGCCTCGTCAGTGGATTTATCAATCTAGAAGTGATACATTTATCTATCCTGAGCTCAACGACTAAGAACCATCTAGACTTATGATGCTCACAAAAATCACCCAATCAAACTACCAATCTGGCAGCTAGGGCGTCGACCCGGAAGGAGGTGTCCGAAATGACAACATCACCTACAACAATCCCATTCGACGGCAAAGTTGTCGGCCTCTATATCACTTCTCTCCAGCAACCATGAGCCACAACTCCCCTGATAATATGTCTCCTTCCGCTAGAGCTCTTTGCGGTCCTCTGGAGTATTGTGGTCGAGCGACTCCGGCGCTCCCCTGGGCCTGCCGATCTTCTGAGCTGGTGTCTTGGTCGTGTCCCATAGTATTGCGCGTCCTTGTGGGACCCTTGAGTGCGGAACTTTCTTGCCACGCACAACATCCGGTCACCTTGAACTGAGCCTCCTTCTTCTTTGATTATCCTCTTACATGGTCCTCCGTCACCAACTCCTCCATTTCTTGTGTAGCACTTGTACAGCCAACCCATCTTCTATTCAATCTTGCGTTTCACTCTTGTCTTCAGCACGTGCACCGTCTTCGTCAATCTTCAGACGAGACCTTCGGCGCCTACTTATGCTTTACGCGCCTTCACCGGCGGAGTGTCCGTTTGTATCACGAATCGTGCCGGACGCGTTTTGGCTCTCCACCGGGGCCTCTTCAAAAGATTTATCAAGCGAGAAGTGAATCATACTTTGCATTGCGCTATCACCAACTTAGAAGGTTCTGATCTTAGTGTAATTACATTACCACACCACAGCTATAAAGACTGGTATCTAGGCGGTCTTCCAGGAAAGAAGTGTCCGCAATGGCAATCCATTTCAAAGGGCGTGTTTGTAATGTGCCCCGAGCAGATAGCTACAGTAAATAACGAGAGTTATAATGTACGGCCGTACCAATGCGCATTATGAAAGCTACAGCTGGACAGCGTGGGCCACCTCGTTTCGTTCGAGGACTCATCCAGACGCAAAAAACGCGCGCGAGTCTTAGCATTCGTCATGATTTGCATCATAATTTCCAATTAGGAAAACGACAAACGCTCGCTATCCAAACGTAATATTTGTCCCCACCTCAGATCGTTTAAGAACTGTCCTTCCAACTGCACATATCCCTCTTTGTGCTCGAGTTAACGTCGCTTTTCTACCAGGGAAAATAAAAAAATGCCCCATTTAATCACGAAAATTAAAAATGCCCCAGATAATTGGAAAAAAATGCCCCAGAAAATCACGAAAATATAAATATGCCCCACGTCCTAGTTTGACGAATGCGCTTAAGGCATCATCGCACGTTTCCTTCCTGAATAGGCCTGCATACGACGGATTCTGCAGACAGTGAAGTCATCAATAAGAGCTATAGAGAAAGAATAGATTCTTTGGGATCTACTGGTATGATTATGTGTTTTAAAGTACCAAAGCTGATAATTAGGAGGGGAACGCGATCCCACAAGTAGAACAACGTTGATATCAAGGGCAGCACCTACAGCAGCAACAGCAGTAGCAACAGCAGTAGTAACAGTAGTAGTATCGTATACAGAGCAACAACAACAGCAACCGCATCACCTACAACAACAGCAGCAGTAGCATCAACAGCAGTAGCAGCAACATCATCAATAATAGCAAATAAATCAACAATAACAAAAGCAATTGCATCAAGGGAAGCTTTATACATCCACCACCCAAACGTTAACCATCCACCCCCTCCCCAAATTAATTTGATTGGCTATTATTTATCATTTAGATTGTTCAAAGAGAATGAACGCAACTGTAAGAATTTCAACACCCACAAGACACTCACCTTCAAATTGCAACCTTCAGCGTACGGGAACGAGGAGGAGGCAAGCGACAGAGACAAAGACGGAGGCAGAGACGAAGCGCAGTGGCGTCCTTTCGTGTCGGTATCCGCAGGTAAAGAAGAAGAAAAGAAGAGAAGAAGGAAGAAGAGATAAGGCAAAAGAGGTGGAGGCAGAAGCTGAGGAAGAAGCAGAAGGTCAAGGGAAGGAGCGGGAAAGAGAACGATGTTGCAAGAAGAGGATCAGGACAAGAGGACGATGTTATAAGAGGAGGAGCAGCAGCAGCAATCGGTTGCCCAGGACATACTTCTGAGGCGAACGTGTCTGCAGCGAATGTGCGTTGGTCGTTGCTGTGTCGAAAAAGTGTCTGTCGAGAGTGTGAGCTGCTCATGGCTCATTTGTTGTGCTTTTGGTGTTTTGCTAGTTACCGACAGCTGCAGAGTACGCATCCAGAGGAGGGTGACACGAGGATTCGGCAGCTTGCGACAAATATTGAGGTGCAGGTGTGCCAGAAGGCGAGAACGCGGGTACGTACTGTTTTGTCTTGACGACATTTGGGGTCGTGAGATGAGTTGCAGACTCTTTTTTTCCTTCTTATCGGTTCCTGACCGGGTCTTGTGCTGTGCACTAAAATGCTTACGTAGCTGCAATTGATCAGGAGATTCGCAAACTCTTGCAGGTCGAAATGGCCCAAGCCAACAACGCTGTCCTGTATTCAAGCGCGAGTCAACACTTCGACAATTTGCATCACGAGACTCAAGCTCAACAGTCGGCAGTGTCGAGGGGGATGCAAAGTAATTACTCCACGAATCAAGCCTCACAGGCGCACAGTTTCGAGTACGCTCTAGCACTATCTCAAGACACAAATAGCAGCGACAAATTGTCGGCATCCTCTGCGACAATCCAGTCTAGTACCGACAGATTTTCGAAATTCTCTGCACCACGTCAGTCGATGGGTGCAGTAAACTCGTTTTAGTCGATGATGAGTGATCAGACGCAGTCGTGTGGACCCAACGATGCGCACACACACAAATAGATGAACGCAATCAACCAAGGCTTGAACACGCAGGGCCACCGGCAACTGAGAGCCCGATGTTATCCGCCCACTACGGTCGTGTCACCATCTCGTCAAAACTTCTCGGTCCAAAGTAACGTCGGAAATTCGCCAAGGCAAGTTTCATCCCACGGCAATATGGAAGGACAACAGCAGCTTGACGATCGAATGAGCAATTTGGAGGTGAGTGTCTTGTGGGTGTTGAAATTCTAACAGTTGCGTTCATTCTCTTTGACCAATCAGAATGGTTGATTTTCGCCGATCGAAATTTAATTTTATGGGGGGTGGATGGTTAATGTTTGGGTGGTGGATGGATAACGCTTCCCTAATATTAATATCAACAACATTAGCACCGACTGACTGTGTTTACGGCCGCGACTGATCATACAAAGACGCGTTTACGTCCTCACATCTCGCGTCTGCGCCCGCAACTGGTGGCTGCAAGCGCAGCACCCCCGCGGCAGAACCCTCTCCGCGGCTTCCTAAACAGGGCGTGGGTTGGTCACGGCCGTAAAATGGGAAAACGAAAAGATTAAGGACGTGTGGTTTTATGTGTACCACATTAAGGTTGCTTTACTAGGACGTGGGCCATTTTTTTCCAATTATCTGGGGCATTTTTTTATTTTCGTGATTAAATGGGACATGTTTTATTTTCCCTTTCTACCACCTGCAAAAGGGATCACAACGTCACACTTGTGCCCGTCGACCGCACATCTTCGCCTCCAGCCGCCACCTCAGCCGCCCTCTCCTCATGCTTCGCTACGACGGACAAGTTGCTCTGATCACGGGATCTGGCGCTGGCATTGGCCGCTGCTACGCGCTGCTCTTCGCCGAGCGCGGGGCCAAAGTGTGCGTGCCAAGACTGGCTCTTGGCTCTGTCCTTAATCACTGAGCGTCCCAGCATGAACCGACTGACTATGTCTCTTGTTAATGATAACAGAGTGGTGAACGACTGTAGCAGGGAATCTGCAGACTCTGTGGTCAGGGAGATCAGGACCAAAGGTGTGTGTGTGTGCGTCGGATGAAGAGGCTCTGGGCCGATACAAAAGGAGCAAAACAGGTTGTGTCGAAATGTGAGTAGTACCAACCAGCGGACTGCTCGTCACGTGTTTTGTTTTTGTAGGCGGCGTCGCAGTTGCTGACTACAACTCGGTGACGGACGGCGGCAAGGTCGTGGCTACTGCCATGGACAACTTTGGCCGTATTGACATTCTGGTGAACAATGCGGGTATCCTGCGGGACGTCAGCTTTGCAAAAATGACCAAAGCTCAATGGAACCAAGTGCTCGACGTTCACCTGCAAGGAAGTGAGTGCTGCAGCCATCAATGCTACAGGCTACATGCTGCCTGACCGTTGCCTTACCTCCTTGTACTGCGCCTGTTGTGTAGCTTTTGCCGTGACGCATGCAGCGTGGCCTCATATGCGCAAGCAGAAATACGGCCGCGTGATTCTCATCACGTCGATCAACGGTCTGTACGGCCAATTTGGTCAAACGAACTACAGCGCGGCGAAGGCTTCGATGACTGGTTTTGGCAAGTCGCTGGCGAAAGAGGGCGCCAGCTCGAATATCAAGGTGAACATCGTCGCCCCTGGCGCTGGTTCCAAGATGACGGCGTCCGTGATGCCCGAAGACCTCGTGGCCAAGTGGAAACCCGAGTACGTGGCGCCTACGGTCGTCTATCTGTGCCACGAGTCCGTGCCGTGCTCGGGCAAAATCTTCGAAAGCGGCGGTGGCTTCGTCGCGCAGGTCAAGTACGTGCGCAGCCACGGTGTGTTCCTCGATCTGGCCAAGGAGATCACGCCTGAGACGGTGCAGAGCAAGTTTGCTCAGATCACGGACTTTGCGGCCGCGACGGACCCAGACGAAGACGAGATATCGCCGCAGCTGAAACAGATTCTGACGGCAAAGCTATAAGTCGGACATCATGTCGGGCTTTTGGTCTGCTAGTCCGACGTGCCGTCGGCGAAGAAAGTAGCCACTTGAGGTTTATGCCGCGCGGTCCTTCAGATCACCCTGGGGTGGTCTGCGAGTACTGTGACTCAGTTTGAACTCCTTACAGACATCCGCCCTCATTACACTATGGGGCTTTTCGGCTGAGGGGGCCTCCAGCGCCCGGCACTACACACCCTGAGATGCGGCCCGGTTACGCAGCCACCCATTGGATGGTTTATCGTCCCATAAAAGCCTATCTCCGGACCCCTGTGATCGAGCCCCCACCAGGGTATCGATCCGGATTTTTCCCGGTCCCAGTTCCAGTGGTCTACTACCACTCGGCCACTGGGGTCGGTGACAGGAGCCATTTGAAACAACGCAATCCTGATGCGGCATAAGTGGACCACATAAAACAAAACGTGCTCGACGCTGCCATGTGATTGGCCATTTTTCGTTTGCAGCGCCACGACAACAACGACGTCAAGTGGTCAATCGCACGTCCTCCTGTCGGCTCTACGGACGGCGACGCGATGATCCGTCTCAAGGCCAAACAAGCGGAAAAGGCGGCAGAAGAGAAACAAGTAGCAGCAGACGCAGGGAACGCCGTGTCGGCCCTGAAGCCCAAGACGAAGATCCTGGGCGTCGGCCGCGGCAAGCGCAGTGGCTTAAGCAAAGAGAAGAAGCGCACGCCGGGCGAGATCCGTATCCAGAAAGGTGGGACAAAGTGTAGCCATTGCACAATCGTGCGGGGACAATGGGTGCACGGGTGCTGATGGTAGTTGCGCGTGTGGCTGTTGTGGGTCATAGATATCGCAGAGCTGGACGGTGGCAAGGCCGCGACTGTCACGTTCCCGGAAGTGAACGATTTGACATTCTTCAATGTTAAGGTGTGCAGGTGGATAGGGACTTGGATGTGGGTGGATACGATGCGACTGATGGCGCTTGTGATTGGTGCAGATTGCCGTGGACACGGGTCTGTGGAAGGGCGCGTCGTTTGGCTTTAGTTTCAAGATCCCGCCTGTACGTGTGGACCTCGCGACTCGAGGAGGTGTGGTCTGTCGAGATGGCTCATGTGCGTGTTGTGCTCGATGTGCAGATGTACCCACATGACCCGCCAAAGGTCCAGTGTCTGACAAAAGTACGTGTGTGTAGTTGCTGCTGCTGTTGATTGAGCTATGGAGCATCAGGGACGATGGATTGATGGGTGAGCAGAGCGCGGTGCATACTAACGCCTCGCCGTGGTTGGTGTCGACTTGCACCGTGCAGATCTACCACCCGAATATCGACCTGGACGGGAACGTGTGTCTGAACATCTTACGCGAAGACTGGAAGCCCGTGTTGGACATCAACTCGGTCATCTATGGGCTGATCTACCTCTTCTACGAACCGAATCCGGACGATCCGTTGAATAAAGGTTTGCACGATACGGCTCATTGCATTTGCTTGGTGCTGAAGTCGGGTGCTGACCGATGTGTCTGTTTTTGTTGTGAGAGCAGAAGCCGCCGAACTGTTCCGAAATGACCCCACGCAGTTTGCTACACTGGTGCGGCAATCGTTGCGCGGGTACAGTGTTCGAGGCATTTCGTTTGAGAAACTGATATAGTTCCGCACAGCTCCCGTCCAAGTATCTCTTCATTCAAGTAGAATTGGTTGCCTTCTTGGCGACGAACGCCACGCAAGTTTGACGATCTTGCGTCATAGACACGTGGGCACAGGGTCTAGCTAGCAACTGCTTGTCCAGCTCGTGTTTGGGAAAATATCCACGTTGCTTCCTTTGTACATTCACTCTGCACATGCTGGATGCTATCACCCATCGCGTCTAGAAAGGGGCATGCCGTCATTCAGTAAAGGTACCAAGCACACTCAGCTTTATGGTGCTACGACATGTAGATGGCCTCGATCTCTTCGGACGTGCTATCGCGAATGACGTTTTCCTGTCGTCGACACAAACAACACACGATGAGCCCACGAAAAAAGACGAGAAAGACAAAGTCACGCACCCTTTCCAGCTTGCATTTGCCTCCAATAGTAAGGTTCAGCGAGTACTCGTAAAAGAAGCCATCGGCAGTTGCCACATACAGCTGGACCACTGGGCTATCATTGTCCTTGGGACCGTGAATCGCACATTGGTTTGGTACTCCAGTCGAGCAGAGTCGAGCCTGTGAGATCGCAAGGTAGTACCGTCAGAAAGGTTCAAGTTCGTCATACTCCAACGAAGCACAACTTACATAGGCAAAGTCGCGAGTTCCTTCCGCGATACCCGAGAAGGAGCTCGGAAGGTAGGCGCTCATCACACCAGCCACGTCCTCAAAATTACTGACAGCTGAGCTGGCACTACGCGTCGTTCGCGAGGTGGTAGACGCACTAGTGTTAGAAGCGCGTGCCGAAGATTTACCAGGCAAAGCGTCAACTGTGGTTGAGACCGAGCTGGATGCAGCAGCAGCACTCCCGAAGACCGTAGAGCCGAAGGTGCTTCCAGCAACAGCCAATGTCAACGTGATCGGCGTGAAATGGCCGAAACTGCCTGTCGCAGAACTTTCTGCACCAGTTAGAGAGAAGAAGTGGATCGTGCCTGTGTCACTGGAAGCACACAGAAGCGTTGAGCTCTCGTTGAATGCGAGGCAGTAGACTTGAGCACCGTAGGATCCCCGTCGAAAAGCTGCAACTTTCTGTCCGCTTGGAACGGCAAAAACACGAATCAGCGTTCCCTACAGCAACAGTCGCAACATGGTTACCACAAGCTTCGATCAAACACGTCGTCGTCTAGCATTACTTACAGACTCGGACGCTGTCGCAAGTAGTGTGCTTTGCATGTTGAATGCCATTGCCACGGGTGCTGTGCGATGTGCCTGAAATGCATTCAGCACACCAAGATCATTGGCGTCGTACAACACGATCTCTCCTGGCGTGGCTCCGGAGGGGAATGCTAGATGCCCATTGTCGTGTGGAGACAGCACGCACAACGCTTTTGGATTCGGCGAGGTGTCCAATGTCTCCAGAATCTTCATGGTACTAATGTCGAAAATGTAGATCTTGCGCTCTAGCACTGCAATCAACCTATAGCAGTTAAAGATACGCACATCAGTACCTCACTCCCTCACGCGTAGTATTGCCTGCCATCTCGATCGTTCCAGTTCAGACTTACAACCACGAACACTGTACCTCTGTCGGTTCATACGCACAGCCAGCACGGCCGTGACGAAATTCAAATCACAGATTGCAGCTCCTGTCTTCGTGTTCCATACACGCAGTCGACGCGGTGAGAACGCAGGCTAGAAAAGATACGAAGGATAGTAGAAAAGGATCGATCAGGCATACACACGAAAGAGACAGCAGTCGCCTGATAGCTCAGAAGCCATTGCCACATCACCCACTTGGTCCCCAGCACCCACGAGAGCCACGAGACTGGTACAATACAGCATTTCCGCAATGCCAATGCCCCCAATGTCTTCCTGGAAGCATTTACTGAACGGTTCGCAGTTGTAGATCGCAAACCCTTGACGAGTCCCGACGCTGATGCATCTAAGAGAACGAACACCCACCAACGTCCGTTCAAACCGCACACATAACACGTGAGAACAAGTCCACAAGCAGATGCGCCAAGTCTGGGCATACGTACGACGCGTCCTGGTTGAAGTTGAGGCAGAGGAGGTCACGATGGCCGCTCGTGGAGCTCTTCATTTGGTCTTGTGACGAAAAGTAGCTCAAGGCCGTCTGGATGTGGTGTTTGTGTGGGCCAAATATAGCCAATCACGTGCTCGTCCGAGAGTCGAGCGGCCACTTCAACAACGTGGCCAATGAGAACACGCTGCACAACGGCGCGAGTCATCACTCGGGACAAGACGGGTCAAGTAGATCAGAAATTCGCTGCGGTGGTACATAGTCGCAATGTTTTGTTGCTAAAAAGGGCTACTGGCGTCTCCTTTGTGGGATTCGATGCATGGAGATGGAATGTGCGGCCAGTTAGTGTCCATGTGACGCTGCTCCTGTGTCTTCTACTCGGTCGTTACTCGGTCAGTCCCGATTCTGAAGTGAGACTGCTATCAACGTCTTGCGATGTCCAAATCGAAAACAAGGAGCACAAGACGCAGTTCCGTCGCGGAAGACGTATTTTGTTGTCACTCACATTGTCAGTGGTGCTGGAAAGACTAAACAGAGGAGCAAGCGCAGCGGGGGTATGTGACGCTTGGAAGCGTAAGGAAGGGCGGTGTTGCAGGTATGAACCACACGGCTTGATGAACTGTCTGGAGGTGACAACAATGGTGACGATTACCAACAGCAACAGCTGCAACCGGAGTGGACCATACTCTTTTGTTTGAACAAAGCGGTGGATCCTCTTCCACCTCCACAAATTCAGGTAGACGTCCATCGCCATGATGTCCATTGCAAGCACCTCACTCATGGACATGGAAAGAGGCAGCAACCTCGAGCATCTTGGTCGTGTCTAGCGTTTGTGCGTGAACGGGACCGATAGCACTGAGCACTGCCGCCTTGGCAACCGCATCAACAGGAACAGCAGCTTGCATCTCCTCACCGACGAAGGGCACGTAGCCCAATGCAGTCGAAACTGCACCAAGGTTACGTGCCAGCATCGAGATAGGTGCGCCGACAAGCTGGAGTGGAATCCCTTGTCCCTTCGCCGTACGACGCCAGCCATAGATGAAGCCTGGACGCAGCACGACACCTGTGCTTGGGAAGCTAGAACATCCACAATCAATGTAAGCATCAGAAACGATTGACGTCAACAACGAAAGCGTTCGCTCACAAGATATCCTCACCTCTCTTGCACGGCAGCTTCGGCTCGCTCTTTGCCATGGTAATAGCCATACAGCGGCAGCCACGACGGGTAACACGAGCCGACTCGAGAGTTCGACACGAAGACGAACCGTTCCACACCTGCTTTCTGCGCCGCGTGCGCCACCGCAATCGTCGCGTCTCCGCACATTTTCTCCATGAACTCCTGGCTGCCAAACGCACCTACCGTCGAGACTAGAGCAAGCAAGCGAGCGAGCGAGAACGACACACAGAACGACGATGATCAGCTACTCGTTAGTGCACTCGTCTCGTGCTTCAATCTCTGCTCTGCAACACGTACTAACGCCTGTTACGCCTTCGACCGCCTCCAGGAGATGCTCTTCATTGAACACACTGCCCGATCGCCAGTCCACTTGATCGATCCACGGGACGTCCTGCCACTGCGGTTTGCCCGAGCGGTTGAGGCTGCGGACTTCAATGCCCTTTTGCACTGCGCGCTGCAGGATGTTGCTACCCACAAAGCCGCTTCCGCCGACGACCAGAAGGCGGTGCTCGCTCTTGTCGTAGGCCCGAAGTGTGTGCATAGACCTCGCGCGAAGACGCTGCGCTGCTGCTGCGATCATCTGTGACGAGCGATCCGAGAGCTGGATCGAAGTCGAGCTGGTGCGAAAGGATACCGGTTTTGATTCGACATCGTACCGGTTTTATTGCTCAAGACACAGCAGATATGTTGCAACCGACAGGGTACGCAAGCGGTAGGTAGGTATTCACAGTAAGTGCAAGTTTGAGAAAGCGTAAGTTAGTTTGGAAACTTGAGGAGCAGTCTCGTGTAGATGACGAAGTCAAAGCGGTGTATTCACTTTCGCTTTCGCGATTGATGAAGAGGTATTGCATATACAGGTAGAGATCCAGATGTCGAGGTGTGCTGAATGTTTGACACAGCAGCATACACATGCAAAAGACAATCTCGTGATTGATCATCCGATGTCGAAGAATGCAGGCAGCCATTCTGCAAATGTGCCGAGCTTAAAGGTGAGATAGGGACATGAAACTAGCGAGGCTTGACCATGCCTTACCATCGATATCCTTTAGTTATACGATCAGTGCTGATGAGACTGAGTAACAGCTGCTTGTCTGTGAATGGGAACAATGTACATCCAAACTTTCCTGTTCATTTACGTGTCCAGGGGTACTACTTCATTTCTGCAATGTTGATGCTTGATTGGAAAACATACTTCGTCTATCTTGCGACTATGCGATAACCGCTATCGTGTTGCATTCATGATAGTGCTGGATCGAGTGAGGATGACGGCGACCTATCTTTGCACCCAGTTGTAGCTCCAGCGACACGTCCCGTCGTCGATGTCGATGTGTTTGTTTTTGCGCCTTTTCATGATTGTCGATCATTTTGCCGTGGAGGTGCTAGATGCCAACCACTTGAGCCAAATCGCTAATGTGGTAACAAATCACATCCTGTGCGGGCTGCGTCGTCTTCCGCATGTGACGAATGCATGTGGTGAGCATCTAGCCCTTGTTTTGCGCCTTCTTACCCACTTAGCTCAAGCGTTACCGGTTGACAGCACTTCTACTACCAAGACGAGTCATCTCGTTTTCGTGGATGTGACTGGATGCAGACATTTGTATCACCTGTATGCGACTGGTGCAATACGGTATCTTTGATGATGATGAGCTTCGAGCTATCGGGCGCTCAGTGTTCGATCAATGTTTTATGCTGAATTACATGCTCGACATCGGGCGACTGCAGTGTGTTCATGGCAATATGTACGTACGCGTGACAGCACTTCGTTTTGCCAACTTTGAGACCGTCTATAGTGCAGAAGCGAACCGAAAGCCTGGTGACAATCTGAGAGCCCCTAACTAGCACGGAAGCTAAAGCTCATATAAGTCAAGATAGACTGACTGACTGACTGACTGACTTGACTTGGCTTGGCTTGTCGTTGACAGGGTTGTCGATGAGGCAACGTGACGTATCGAAAGAAGAAATACACATCTCACTACACGGGTGTGGCGCTTGAGTACACACTTGATGGTGACACCGGTGAAGGGGTCTGCTTGAGCCATGAAAGGGACTGCCACCTTGTGCTTCTCGTACCCTCGGACTCCAACTGGACACCCGTACTCTTTGCTCGTGCGCGTAGAAAGGCAGGAACCTGTTTGCTTCGTCGTTGCAGACGTGTGCTAACAACTGCATTGCGTGCAAGCAGTCAAAGACGTGTGAAAGCTCTAGCTGCATCTACAGGGAGCTACGACCGTGGCTGCTTCGACGCCTACTCCCAGTACCCGTTGCTTTGCAACAATGAAACGAAGCGATGGCCTCACCTTTATTTCACACCGTTATAACAACCTCGTCCTCTGCGTCCTGCGCTACCTCGCTTGGTCCGACCCAAAGACCGTTCCACACAGTACTCCAAGTGCCAGAGCCGTGCTTGTCAATGTGTCGAGTCAAGCTTCCTTGCTCGCGCTGCGCCTTGGACGCCCAAGCATTCAGCTTCAGCGGTTGCGCATGAGGTCTATTCGGTCCACTACCTTCGTTTGGTTGTGTCTCCGCGTGATGCGAATCCGTAAGGCTCATCATGCTGTAGCTGCTATCCGAAGGACCATTTGCGGGGCTGACTGTGGAGCCATCACTAGTTTGAGAGGAAACGTCGTGGTCAGTTTCAAGCTAGTATGTAAAAAGAGTAGACCAACAGCCGTAAGAACACATCCCCTTCATGTCAACATGTACTTACAAACTGCGTACCTCTTTGCCAGCCGTTGACATGGTTGCTTGGATCTGCTTCTTCAAACTATCCAGTAGCCGTTGTTGGTCTTTTATGTAATCGTTGGCGTCCTCCAGCTGCCTCTGAATGATCGACTTTTCCTCTCGCAACTTACGGACATAATCGAGCATGACACGCTCTTCCCCAAGCATCCTCGTTTCTTGCAGTTCCTGCACAAGCGCTTCGATAGTCCTTTTCAGCTGTCCCACTAGCAAATCCTTCTCTTCGAGCTGCAACAGTAGCGTCTCATTTCGGACATTGTGCACATCAGCCCCTGATTCTCCTTGTTCGCCTTGCGTTGCCACCAATGGGCACGACGCCTCTACCCCCTTCCCTTCATTTTCTCTACTTCTATCACCCATCTTCGATTCCTTGGACTTGTCGTCAGCACTTATCCCCTCGCATTTCCGAGAAAACAGCTCCTTCACTTCTGGCATTGTCGTCAGCTCCATTGCCGTCTTACCTTTGCTAATCCCCTTGTCACCTTTCATACTCACATCTGCATGACACCTCAGTAGCATCTCAACACACTCCACTTGGTTCGCGTGACACGCCAAGTGCAGCGGCGTGGCGCCTTCTCCGTTGCGGGTGTTCACCAACTCAAGTCTTTGCACGTCCTCCCTCTCCAGCAACTCTTTCATCACGTCCAGCGCTTGGCAAGACGCTGCCCAATGCAGCAGCGATCCTCCAGTCGCTGCGTCTCGGACGCCTACGTCCACTCCAGCAGCCAGCAACTGGTTCACACTCTGTACATCGTTCGCTGCAACTTGTTGAATCAGAAACTGATGGAAGACCACCATCAGATCCTGAGCCTTCAGCTCTTGTGCCAGAGCATACGCCGATCGATTGTCGTGTTCTTTTCCAGTCTCATTCTTGCTCTGATGCTCTGGGGGGAAGCCCGCAGCCAAAAGAACTCGAAGCGCGTCCTTCTTGCCGCTTGCTACAGCCACATGCAGCGGTGAGCGACCCGTGACGGGGTCCACCACATCAGCAAACGATAGCCGACCACGACTGTGGTCCGCCAGTGCCTTAATGACATCGGAACGGCCGTACTCTGCCGCTAAGAAGAAGCCATCGAGCGCCTCCAGGAGCTCTTCGGGCGTGGTCATTGTTCGCCACTCGCGGAGATGTGATTCGCTGAAAAAGATCGAGCAAGCGTAAGTACGGTCGCGTACATAAGAGCGAGTGTCAAATAGAGTCGATGGTGTCGAAAGAGACTCTATTCGCGAATTGGCTAAACAGCGCTGCTATAAAGCGGTGTATCAGCTGATCCAGCAGCCTCTCTCACCAATCGACGAGCAGTACATGGCTCGATTTGCTTCAACAACGATCCGACCACAACCACAACCAAGAAAGAGGTTTTGAATCGACATGTTAGCATACTCACTCGCAAAACTGCTTCTGCTGCTGCTGCTGCTGCTCTTCGAGTTCCAAAACATTCGCGCACAACCTGCTGTGCAACCCACGCGGTCGGTCGTCCATCACCTTAGCATTACAATATTTCCATCACCTATCGCTCGCACGATCGACTGCGCTTGATCACGACTGCTGCTCCTTGACTTCGACGTCCTTGATAAACGCGGCAAGTTGGCCCGTAGCAGCCAGGATCAAGCCGTGGAACGGCGGAGACGGCTCGTTCGGGTGCGACTTGAACTCGGGATGGTACTGCGTGGCAAAGTAAAACGGATGCACGTCGCGGTCGAGCTCGACCACCTGCATGCGTTCCCCCTTTTCGTCCGTGCCGACAAAGTTGAGACCAGCCTCACGGATCGCTGGCACAAGCTCCGGGTTCACCTCGTACCGGTGCCGATGACGCTCGAGAATTGGCTTGTCCTTGCCGTACAGATACGACACCAGCGAGCGCTTCGCCGGGTCGCCCTTTTCGTGCACGATCGTTCGGCGCTCACCGCAGCGCATGGTGCCACCCATGACCTCCGGGTTGATCTCAGGCATAAACACTACCACCTTGTGCCCAGCGTCCGCGTCAAACTCTTCGCTGTTTGCATCCTGCCAGCCTATGACGTTGCGCGCATACTCAATCACGACCACCTGCATGCCCAGACACACGCCCAGATACGGGACGCGGTTTTCACGCGCGTACTTTGCCGTGAGCACTTTGCCGTCGACGCCTCGATCGCCAAAACCACCCGGCACTACGATACCATTCACGCTGCGCAGCTTATGCCACGCCTCGTCGTAGGCTTTCGGGTTGCACTCGCGCATTTCTACCTCCAAGTCACTGGCTTCGATCCACTCGATCTCCAGGTCGTAGTTGCACTTCATGGTCGCGTGCTTCAGCGCCTTGATGACACTCAAGTACGAGTCCTGTAGACCCGTGTACTTGCCGACGAGAGCAATCTTGCACACTTGCTCGAAAGAGTCCACGCGATGGGCCATAGCTGACCAAGCAGCCAGGTCTGGCTCACGAAAGCGGTCCATGAGCTGCAGCTTGGACATGAGGATACTTGCGGCGCCTTGCTTGGACAGCAGGAGTGGCACGTGGTAAATGTTGCTCACGTCGTGCACCGACAGCACGTGATTCGCCGGCACTTGGCAGAACATGCCAATCTTCGTCTTGGTCGCATGTTCCAGCTCGGTGCTGCTACGACAGATGATCACATCGGGCGACAGACCAGCGCTTCGCAGCTCCTTGATCGCGTGCTGCGTGGGCTTAGTCTTCTGCTCCCCGACGGAGCCGAGCACCGGCACAAGCGACACGTGCACGAGACAGAAGTTCTCGGGCCCAACACGGAACTGGAACTGCCGCAGCGCTTCGAGGAACACCATGCTCTCAATGTCGCCCACCGTACCACCCACTTCAATCAGACACACGTCCGCAGCTCTGTCGTCGTCCAGTGTACTTGGCTCAGCAGCGCGTGCGCCGTCCACACCAATCTGAGCCACACGCTCGATCCAGTCTTGGATCGCGTCCGTCACGTGGGGTACCACCTGCACCGTCTTGCCCAAGTAATCGCCGCGACGCTCTCGCTCCAGCACGTGCGTGTAGACTTTACCGGTCGTGATGTTGTGGTCGCGCGTGAGTGTAATGCCCAAGAACCGCTCGTAGTTGCCCAAGTCCAAGTCGCCTTCCCCGCCGTCATTGAGCACAAAGACCTCACCGTGCTCGAAAGGGGACATGGTGCCGGCATCGCAGTTCAGGTACGGGTCGATCTTGATGGACGTCACGCGCAGTCCGAGCGACTTGAGCACGACACCAATGCTGCTGATGGTGATGCCCTTCCCCAGACCACTGACGGTCCCGCCAGTCACGGCCAAGTACTTCATGGCGCACTGCTGGACAAGGAAGTGCACGACAGGTGGACAGGCGATGATGGGTACACCGACGACGTTCACGTCTGACAATGACTGACCGAGTGACTGACCAACCGAATGGTGAAGAGCTACGAGTTGCAAGCAACTGAACCCGTTTCGCCAGCAGGTCGTTTCATCTGTCGAATTGTATGCAAAGTGGGTTCGCACGAAACCCGCGTGAGCGTACACGAAGCGGCCAGAAAAATTGGTTGGACGGCTGGAAAGAGCAGCAAACGATACCAAAGAGGAGCGACTCGATCGATCTACCGACGATGGCGATCTACGAAATCAATTGGTGTCGATTCACTCACTTTTGCTCGTTGTAGCAGCACTTGTGCGCTCGAGTGCGCGTGCACTTTGTCCACCGTCGCAGTTTGTTTGCACATGTGTTGAGGTCGATGAGAGTGCAGTTTAGCGCTCTCGCAACGCTGTGTGCACGTCCGTGAGCAAGACCCACTCCAATGTCGAGGAGGACGACGAAGGCGACTTGTTGGTCCATTGGCTGCAGCTGGTCGCTGTCAATGAAGAAGCCAAGAGCAGATGTTGGATCGCATTCGCGGTGATGACGTTGTGCTTCCAGATGGCAAACGTCTTTTCCAATGCTGCAATCTAACCAGCCTGCACTGCAGACTTGCTCGCAATCGAGCAGAGCTTTTATCATCACGCACTTAACCGGCCATGGGCGCAGCGGTGATCCACGTGCGCTGCTACGCTTTCACGTCACTCAACGTGCACCAATCCAGTAGGAGTCGAACAGTCGATCTAGCTAGTGGTGCCATTCACTCTCTTGTTTGTGAACAAGATGTCAAGCACGAAACCGTAGCGCTGAACGGTTGCGTGAAGGCGTATCTTTGCCGTAGCAAGGAGTACGATAATGATCAAAGTACTGGTTCTTGTCGACTCACGGCAGCTGTCACTTGCATCGTGAAACACATTCGCTTTCTGCTGATCACGAACGAGACTTCCTTCGAAGTAGGCTGATAGATTGTGGCTTCCAAGTCTACAGCAGTGTCCGGGCCAGCACTCTCCTCGGTACAGCACTGGGACGATCAGGTACAAACGTAAAGCGCTAGCGGTTGCTGCAGTAGCACTTTGTTGACGCTCAACGTCGGCGGTATCTCACTGTCCGGTTGCGTCGCCAACGTCCCAATAGCTTTCGGACGCAACTGCTGCGGTCTTCGAGACCAGCACAGGTGTCAAAGCATGTGCAGTGTGTAGCCGTCTCCACGTTGTCCCGTCACAGGCGCCACCGAAGGCCAAGAGAGAGCAACAAAGGCCAACACGAACGCTAACTATTGGTCCACAACATGACTTCGTCGTCGTTGTGACCTGATGCATCGAGTCAGAGACAAAGATACTTTCCGGCTCTATTTCTCTCGGAGCTGCTGACCTGATTGACACAAATTCGCTCACGTGGGAACCCAAAAAGTGGATAGGACGCTTTCGATTCGACAAAAAGCGGTCCAAAAGGATACGATTTATTACTATACTTTGCATCGCTTGCGGTCGGTCACTCATACAAAGCAACTGCCACGTGCCTCACCCGCTCGTCCATCACCTCTTCTTCGCGTCTCGTAGCTGCCGCTTTGTTCGTCCACAGCACACAATCCACAGACACAGTGTTCAGGCGCTGGGCCTCGAGTTCTGCTGCCATGTTGCGACCGTTCACCGGCGTCCACGCGCTCGTAGCGATCGCCCTCGCACTTCCCACACGAGCAGAAGACGAACAAGCGACAGGCTTTACCATGCAGCTCCACCGCATGCCCCGACACAACAGACAGCCCGCGAGATACGCGCGACGATTGGGTGTGGAAGAGGACGGACCGGAGCTCGTGCCGCTGCACTTGGGACTTGGGTACGTGACGGATCTGTCTGTCCGAGTGTCTGTCTATCTGTCTGTCTGCTTTTGGGTATGTTTTTTGTTGTTTGTTTGTACTGACGTGTGTGGATGTGGTGCAGGACACACTACACGTGGCTCTATGCAGGCACACCACCGCAGCGAGCGTCAGTGATTGTGGACACTGGCAGTGCACTGTTGGCGTTTCCGTGCTCGGGCTGCAATGGCTGTGGGAACCACACAGACGTGCCCTTTAACGCGGACAATTCGTCGACGTTGGTGCATGTCAAGTGCTCTCAAAAGTCTTTTTACCGGTGCAAGGAGTGCAAACTGCCGTCGGACACGTGCGCGATTTCGCAGTCGTACTTGGAGGGCAGCAGCTGGAAAGCCTCAGTGGTCGAAGATGTCGTGTACTTGGGTGGCGACTCGAGCTTTGACGACGACGCCATGCGCAGCAAATATGGCACGCGCTACCAGTTTGGCTGTCAGAACGTCGAGACAGGACTGTTTGTCACGCAAGTCGCGGACGGCATCATGGGGTTATCGAGAACAGACGACCACATCGTTGCGAAGCTGTACCACGAGAAGAAGATACCGAGCAACCTCTTCTCGCTTTGTTTTATTGAGAATGGCGGCACCATGTCCGTTGGCCAACCGCACAAAGCGGCACATCGGGGTGAGATTGCGTACGTGAAAATGATCGTGGATGGGTCTCCCAGGTAAGAAGCATTCGCGTGTGTCACTTTTCTTTGTATAGCACTGGTAGTCTAATGTCACTGGTTGATTCCTTTGACAGCCATTTGTACAATTTGCCCGTGAAGGACATTCGCATCGGTGGCAAATCCATCAACGCCAAGGCGGAGTCTTACACACAGGGGCACTTCATTGTGGACAGCGGAACGACAGACTCGTATCTCCCAAAATCGATGGAGGGTGAGTTTATGAAGATGTTTAGAGAGGTTGCTGGCCGCGATTACCAGGTCGAAGCAGCGTGCAAAGGCTATACGAATGAAGAGTTGTCGTTACTGCCAACGATTCAATTCGTCATGGAAGCTGAGGGCGGCAAGAGTGAGGAAGTGATCCTGTCAGTTCCACCTGAGCAGTATCTACTGCGTGATAAAGGCAAATACTGTGGCGGTATCCATCTGACGGAGAACTCTGGCGGTGTTATTGGTGCCAACCTCATGACGAATCGTGACATGATTTTTGACTCCAGTAACCAGCGCATAGGGTTTGTCGATGCCGACTGCGCGTGGCAGGAGACTTCAAATTCGACAGCAACGTCATCAGCGATGAACAAAACCACTAAGATCAGTGAAGGGAAGGAGAAGGAGAAAGCTGCAACTACAATTGCGATCGCGCCAGGCGGCACATCGGTCGTTAAGAGCACTCCGGCGCCAGCAGCTGATGCAGCGTCTAAAGATGCTGGTACTCCGACGCCACCAGCTGATGCAGCGTCTGAAGATGCTGGTACTCCGGCGCCACCAGCTGATGCAGCGTCTGAAGATGCTGGTACTCCGGCGCCACCAGCTGATGCAGCGTCTGAAGATGCTGGTACTCCGGCGCCACCAGCTGATGCAGCGTCTAAAGATGCTGGTACTCCGACGCCACTAGCTGATGCAGCGTCTGAAGATGCTGGTACTCCGGCGCCACCAGCTGATGCAGCGTCTGAAGATGCTGGTACTCCGGCGCCACCAGCTGATGTAGCGTCTGAAGATGCTGGTACTCCGGCGCCACCAGCTGATGCAGCGTCTGAAGATGCTGGTACTCCGGCGCCACTAGCTGATGCAGCGTCTGAAGATGCTGGTACTCCTGCACCAATGGCCAATGCAACATCCACGCCCGCATCTACTACTGTCTCCGCTGAGCTGGCTACAAAGACTATGCCGACAGTAGAGGCGACTATGGAACCTGCTACACCAGAGCCAGCTATGACGAGTGCAGACACCTCACAGACGACGCTGGTAACGAACATTTCTTCCGTGCAGACTGCTTCACGTGATGCTGATCCGGAGCTTCAGACAGTTCCGGACGACATGGCCGAGTCGTCGTCAGCAACTGCTACAGTGAGCTCGAAGTCGAAAGGGAGGTCGTTTGGCACCCATCCGATGGTGCTCACGCTTGTCGGTGCTATCTTGGTGGTGGGTTTTCTGCTGATGGTGGTGTTATCAGTCCGCCGACGGCGACGAAAGACCGGCAATAAACAGCTCTGGAGCCGCGTAGAGGGCGACGAAGAGGACGAGGACGTCCAGGATGAAGAAGAGTTTGGTCTCGCGTTTAGCGACAAGAAGGCACTCCAGGGGACGCCCACGACGAAGCACCAGCGGCTCAAGCAGGACGACCGCGACGATGATGATAATGACGATGACCACGATCGTCATCAGGAGAGAAGCAGTGACGAGGACGACGATGTGTTTGCTTGCGAAACCATACAGGAGGAACCCGAGGTGGATACTTCCACGCTCGACCGGCTTTGATGAGCAGACCCGGCACTGCATGTTGGCCCTGATTAGAACCCAAGATAAAAGAGACCCAAAATAAAAGAGACCCAACGTAAAAGAGACCCAAAATCCGTCCACGGACGTCCCACAATGTAGCCATGTTGCCGAAACGACTTGATACGATATCGTAACGCTCCCCAGCAGCAGAGGACGGCGTTGTGGATGCGCGTGCGTCACGCTCCTTGGCACGCAGCTCTCCTTGCGCTCGCACTTGAAAGGTGCGCTTTGCTGTCTGCTGAGGCAGTAGCTCATGCTCCGAAGCTCCTCAAAGTCCAGTTGCACAAGCACAAGCAGAAGCAGCAGCAGCAACAACAGCGAAGCTCCGATCGATCGTATCGACTGATACATCAGCAGACTCGAGCTCAACGACGAGCGCTGGAAGAGACCGGCGGAGTCGATGGCGATTTTGGAGTGGGTGCACTGGCTATGAGCTCGTCGTCGTTGGGCGTGGGCTACGGGTGCGTTTGTATATATGTATGTACATGTGCGTCTGTGTTCTTTTCGTGGGTATACTGTACGCATTCGATAGAGCAGATGAGCTGACGATACTGACTACTGATTGTTGGCGATGTTTGTTTGTAATGTAGCACGCACTATGCTGAGCTCTACTTGGGCATTCCGACACAACGTGCGTCGGTGATTGTTGATACTGGCAGCCACGTCACGGCGCTGCCGTGCAGCACGTGCGATGGCTGTGGACAGCACACGGATCCGCTCTTTAACGTGTCCCGGTCGACAACAGCTAAATACATGGCTTGCCACGAAGTCGATTCGTGTCTGTCGTGTGATCAAGATCGCTGCTATATCTCTCAGGTATGGTAAAGTTGTAACAAAGTCGTGAGAGGCGCTCAGTACTTACGCTGTTCGTGATGTGGTCACTGCGAACGACAGTCGTACTTTGAAGGCAGCATGTGGCGAGCGGTAGTGGTGGAAGAGTTGGTATGGGTGGGAGGGCTGTCGTCGCCTGTTAGTGACGAGATGGAGGGGTTCCTCAGGACATTTGGCTTTCGATTTCCGCTTGGCTGCCAGACCACAGAGACTGGACTCTTTCTCACGCAAAAGGAGAATGGTATCATGGGCCTTGGACGTCACAAGCAGACCGTCATGTCGTATATGCTGAAGACAGGCCGCGTGCTGCATAACGTCTTTACTCTGTGTTTTGCCAGTGATGGGGGTGAGCTCGTGTTCGGTGGAGTGGACTACAGCCACCACACAAGTACTGTGGATTACACGCCGCTGCGCGACAACACGTCTACCTACTATCCGGTGCATGTAAAGAACATTCTGCTGAACGGAGTGTCGTTGGGCATCGGCGTTGACACAATCAACTCGGGCAGAGGCGTGCTTGTTGATAGCGGAACGACAGACACTTTCTTTGACGGAAGAGGAAACCGCAAGTTCATGAAAGCGTTCCGGCATGCAGCAGGGGGTCGAGAGTATAGTGACGAGCACATGCGACTGTCTCACGAAGACTTGGCAGCTCTTCCGATCATATCCATCGTACTATCTGGGATGAAAGGAGATGGCACTGACGACATCCAGCTCGATGTTCCTGCGTCGAAATACCTTTCTCTCTCTGACGACAACGAGTCGTACGTTGGCAACTTTCATTTTTCGGAGCGAAGTGGCGGAGGTAAGCTACTGATGATATGACTGCACCTCGCGCGTGCGTGCATTCTGTGGTTGTTGACAATTGTGTCTTGTTCGTAGTGTTGGGTTCGAGTGCCATGGTTGGTTTTGATGTGATCTTCGATGGAGAAAACAACCGTATCGGCTTTGCAGAGTCAAGTTGTGGTACGCTATTGTAGGATGAAGATGCTGCTCGACGGGCTCTACTGACCCTTCTGTGGTACACGTTGACAATGCGCAGGCAAAAGCTATACGAATGAACCCACTGTATCGCCAACTGCCTCAAACACTACTGGCCAGCCACTACCTACAACTACAACACCGATTGCTCCTGACCAGCAAGCGCCAGCTAATGCCTCTATCAATAGCACCAGCAATGGTTCAGCTGCGGATGCAAACGCGACTGCAACGGCTCTGGCTGATACTGGTGGCAGTGCTGGCGTAATTGCTGGAGACGTGAACACAAGTGCAACGGCGCTAGCTGATACTGTTGGCAGTGCCAATAGGACCAGCAGTCCATTCGCCAACGAAACGTCGAGGCAAGCGGGTCCTGATATTGGTGTGATCATTGCAGGAGTTATCCTCATTGCGCTGGTAGGCGTGGGGCTTGGTGTCATGGTGTGGACAAAGTGGCGCATGCGTTCGTGGTCCCGCATTCCGAAGCGCGCGCACTTTGATATCGCAGATTTGGACAGCATACCTCTGTCGCGTGTGCCAGGAAGGCCGCTGTCTCCTCGATCTCAGTCAGATTCGATTGCTTGGTTGCCAAAGTTCACGATCGGATCGATCGAGGAAGAAGATAGCGATGAGCTGCGTGGAGAAGAAGACGATGAAGGTGTTGACATGTAAATGGCGAGAAGGAAGTAGCAAGTGATCGTGTATGCGATGCTGGTAAACGGTCTCGTGACGTGAGTGGACACGGCTGTCCGGTGACGTGCTGGTGAACTGATCGTGCACGCAGCGAGCACCAGAGGCAGCATGTGTTCTCGAACGCCACGTTAACGCGACTTGTCACAGGCCAATACGGCCAAGAGGTGGACCAACAAGTGTCAACTGGTCTCGGAAGAAGGTCGTCGGCGATAACAATGACTTCAGTGCACAAGACCAACGCAACGTGTGTCGTTCTTGTCGGGGTTTGTCAGGCGACGACAAATGTGTTGGTGGAAGTGAGTGATCATAAGTTGGACGGAGTTTTTGTTTGGCGTCGCCTGTGCATGTGGAAAGGTCAAGCAACTAGACTATGACAAACGTGCATGCGACGTGTCTAGGCACCATTATTCAGGAAGAGCAGAGCAGGACACTGTTGGTGCCAAGAGACGTGCGCTGGCCATTGCCGTACCACTGCTATACTGCTGCTCACTACCGAAAGTTGTGGCCAGACGTGGCTTGCACCATCATCGACTCCAAGTAATCGACCTACACATGCTGTTCGCGAGTCGTGTAACGTTACTTGTCGCTCTTTGCAGTAGTACCTTACAACATGTTGCAACGAACGGGATGGCCGAGTATCACCTCTGTTTGCATCGGTATTGCAGAAACACCGCCATGTGACTTAGCACCATGTCGTGAATCGATATTCATAGTCGAACAAGCTCACGTATGTGTTGATGACAAGCTACAGCTCTTCCCATTCGATGGCTCTGGAAGCCATAAAGACTCGCCAAACTTCACATGGGATGCTATCCCTGCGTGAGTTTGCACAAGTTGGTCGGCTGGTTGCGCGTAGCGCAAAACTACTGGAGCAACTGTTCAGTCCGTAACGTATCTGTAGAAGTCCATGTAAAAGTGTAGCGCAGCCTCCAAGTCGCAGACATATGTTTTGGCTCAACGTGGTCGCTACATGCACATGCACACGCTTTTTTATCTGTATGTTTGTTCCCTTCTTTCGTCTCATTTGCGTTACTTTTTCTTGCAGAGTGCATGGCACTGCACTACATTACGTTGCAAATCGCGAGCGAATGTGACGTGATAGTAAAGCGCAGAGGCAGAGTCGCGTGCCGAAAGAGACCCACAGGCCTACGAATGGCGAGCTATTGTGTATCCATATTTACACGTTACTTATGGAAACTCGTCTGCCAGACGCTGCAGTATCGCGTGCATATCCCTCGCAAAACGCTTTGTATTCATCTCGGATAGAAGTAGTACTAGTAGCAGAAGTAGTAGTAGTAGTAGTAGTAGTAGTAGTAGTAGTAGTAGTAGCAGTAGTAGTAGTAGTAGTAGTAGTAGTAGTAGTAGTAGTAGTAGTAGTAGTAGTAGTAGTAGTAGTAGTAGTAGTAGTAGTAGTAGTAGTAGTAGTAGTAGTAGCTGTTGTTTCGCTATAAGTAATAGTAGCAAGTGTGGCAGCATTCTTACCACTACTTCGACTACTACTACGACTACGCCTACCACTACTACTTCTACTTCTACTTCTACTACTACTTCTACTACTGCGACGATTACTATCCACCCACCCACCCACCGACCGACCCACCCGTGTTACATCCAGCCAGCATCCGTCCTCCCTCTCTGCCTCAACATCGTTTGAAGCTGCAATTTCCGCGTTCACTCTGTCCCATATCTCGTGGTATTTCTTTTCGCCCTCTGTCGCGGATTAGGGCACGCGCGACCCTTTTCGCACGACTGCACAGAAACCCGAACCCAATCGCCTCCACAACCGCTTCCGCTCCACGAGCTCCGCTCAGCTTCTGCCACAGGTACGAGACGACAGACGGGGCAGTCACTACACACAGGTCATAGCGCGAGGGATAGAGAGAGGGGCGACGGTCGCTGTCTGTAGCGTGTGACGGGCGCACCGTAGCGCCTACTGCAGACGCCGATAGAGAAGACGGCCGGACGGACGGACTGACCGACTCACTGATTGTATGGCTGTTGTGCCGACTCGGAACCGCTTTGTGGCTGCAGTAGGCGACGATGAAGTTTGGTAAAGTGCTGCAGCAGTCGACGCAGATGTCGCCGAGCGCGTGGGGGCCCTACTGGGCCGACTACAAACTGCTCAAGAAGATCATTAAGGACTGCGCGCAGATTAAGAAGGAGGAGAAGCTGCAGGGCGACAAACTGGTCAAAATCAAGATCAAGCCCTCGGCCAAGGAAGACAACGACAGTATCCGTGCGTGGCGCTGGCGTTCGCTGCTCTGTTTGATTCTATCGACTCGAGAATATGGGGATGTTTGTTCCTGCAAGCTCACTTGTCTTTGCATGGGTGCGTGTGCCAACGACGTGGTGGTGTTTGAGCAGGTCAGTCGCAGGACGAGATGAATTTCTTCCGCACGTTGCGCGCTGAAATTAAAAAGATCGCCGACTTTTTCATCCAAGAGCAAGCCAAGCACACAAGTCAGGTGGCAGCTATTGACACGAGCTTCCAACAGCTCAAGGTTCGGTGTGCTGTCGGATGGACGTACTTGTAGCACGACGGAGTTTGTCGTGGAGGAGCTGCACTATCGTGTACTCATTCTGGGCTTTTTTGTTGTCGTGGTGTGCTGGTTAGACAAACCTCGAGTCAGCAGAAGCCAAGACAGCTCTCATGAAGAATTGCGTGGCGCTCTACAAGGAACTGCTGCTGCTCGAGAACTTTGCCGTGATGAACTTTTGTGGTATCTCAAAGGTGCGTGTGTGTTTCTTCTCGCCAAGACACAGCGTGTGCATATGTGCCTGCGTGTCGTTACAGAAGCCTGCTGACTGTCTGTCGGTTTCAATGTGCTGCGCAGATTTTGAAAAAACATGACAAGTGGACAGGATACGCCACACGCAACAAGTTCATGCACATGATCCTGATGAAGCAGCCGTTTGCTACGTACGAGCCGCTGTTGCAAATGATCGACCACCTGGAGCATATTTTCATGCAAGCCACGGGATCCAGCATCGAACAGCATGATGCACAGAAGTCGTCTTCTCGACGTAACGGCGATGGCAACTCGTCCTCTTCATCATCAGGAGAGGCACCTGGTGGCGCAGGATGCGCGTTTGGTGGTAATGCAGAACGAGATAGCGCGTTCTCGAGCAACAATGGCTCATCGAACCACCACTCGCCGTGTCACACACCGCCTGGCACTAGGGGTGGCCGTCGTGACGGACGCACATACAGAGCCGCAGGCGATGACACTTCCCCGCAATTCGAAGACTCGGTGACGCTAGTGCGCGTGAATGCGCTTCGAGACGATGTGCGGGAGCTGAAAAAGATTGAGTGTGCGTATGACGGCGATGGCGAGTATGAGGATAACCCGGACGACTCAGGTTTCCCAGACGATGACGCTGAAGCACCTGCCGTGCGCTTTGGTGACCATTTTCCGACTGGGCAAACGAGCGTCGTGCTTCCGCTGCCGTTGCAAGTTGCTCCAGCGGAGCCTCATTCAGACAGCGATGCTGCAGTGATTGCAATGCTTTCCATGAAAGATAGCGCAAGCGTGCATGGATCTGGAGTCAGCAGCGACAGTGGCGATAGTACCACGAAAAGCCACCGTACGCGGAGTACGAAGCGCAAAGCTTGCGCACCGCTAGATATGGAAGGCAAGCGCAAGATGAGCGTCACGGCAATTCTCAACTAGCCAGCGTCATTACGCGTACGACAGCAAGACGAAGGGATGCCGATTCGCTCGAGCACGAAGGACGTCGAGCACGTAAATAATATATGCCACAAAAATCTCCGATATGCGCTTCCGCGTCCATCACGTTTTTGTGTCAGACCGATGAACGGTAGTAACAATTTGCGTTCCTTGGATTCACTTCTCACTGGTCTCTTGCGCTCATTCAATCTACTCGTCGTGTCCTCCACCAGCAAAGCGAGTTTTGCAACTATAGCCTGCACACATACACACGCGTCAGCACGAGGCGTCGTCGACAACCAGGAAGCGACTGTGCGCCATCACCAGAACACAGCGCTCATGTGTTGCAAACGTCCAACCTGCAACATCGTTAGCCTCCTGAGTGATGTGGCCTCAGTGCTCAAAATCGCTAGCAGTAGCGCCCAACTAAAAAGAAAATGATCGCGCACACTATCAGGTGCAGGGGCCCGAAAGTCTGTCGTACAGAAGCACAGCGACAACACAACACCGTCAGTACCACCGGTAGGTTGAGCCAGTTGACCAGCACTGAACGCACGTACACCCTGTTCCTTTAGAACCTTGCCCGCCATCGAATGGTGCGAGACTTCGCTGCCCGCTTTACCACTGACCGCACCGTTTTTTCGATGACGCAGCGTCGACGATTCCTCCGAGAGCTTCCTCACGTGCATCGCATCCGTGTTTGCTTTTTGCAGCAGTTGCCGCGTCTTTTCCAGATCGCTCATCAACACATCGCGCTTGGCCGTGAGCTGCACTGTAAACGCTACCAACTACACGACACCACACCGCAACAATCAATCAACCCACTCGCTTTTCCTCCATCCCCAGTCGTCGTCGTCATGTCCACGCACCTCGTCGTATTTCTTGCGCAGCACTGCAACTTCCTGAATCGCTTCCTTGCCCTCGTCTCCTCTATCCTCCAATCCTTTCCCTGTCTGTGCCTTGTCCTCCCGCAGCAACGCCGACGACAATTGGGCAGCGGTCACCACGTCCTCTCGGCCCTCGTCACTCTGTCGCTTGACCGCTGTACTGCTCGACTCGGACGTCACGGCCGTCGTAGCAGACGACGCGTTCGTCGACGAGGTCCGCTGTGGACTCGACGGCGCTGCTGCGAGCTGCTCCCTCTCGCCGCCGTCATTGTCATTGTCGTTGCCGTCGTCGTCCTGCACAAATCGGCAGCGCAGCTTCTTGTTCGAGAGCGCGCGCTTGTCCGTGCGCGCCCACATGTGCGTGAGCTCGTCCGCCATCTCTTTCGTCGACTTGGTCTTCACTTGGTCGTAGAACCGCTCGTCCACGTAGATGCTCTGCACGAGGAACTTGTCGTTGGCCAACTGGCGCTCTGCCGGGTCCATCCGCCGCAACTCGTCGCAGTCCTTTTGCTGCAAAATCACCACAATCGACGCCGAGCCATTGGGCCCCAAGAGCCCCTGATTCGGCCGCACGAGGTACCGCAGCGGCCGCGTTGTCTTCACTTTGAACGCGATCTGGCGGTCGTCCGACACGTTGCGGATCGTCAGCACCTCCTGCGCCGCCACGTGCACCGGCAAGTGGAAGCACAGCGCGTCCGCGGGCTCGAGCGTCACGCACGAGTTGGGCGCGAGGGCCACGTCCACGTCGCTCGTGCTCGCCATTGTCGCAAGGGGTACACGTTTGCGATTGGGGCCCGTTTGGGGTCGCGCCAAAAAAAGGGGACGGGACTAGTTTTGGTCAATTGTTGCGCCCGTTGGAGTCGGAACTGGGCACTGTGGACCAAATAATGGGTTCACCCGCGCGTTCCACACAGGTAGACAGACAACGCGCACAATCGGGTAGAAAACAAACACCCAGCACCACAACAACACGATGCATCGTTCTGTATGTCACGACGCGACACGACACGTTCACTTGGCTTTACTGTGGTGTGTGTGTGTGTTGCGTGCTTTTGCAACTACTGCCAAGTAGCACCGCGTCTCGCTGGCGTTTACTATCTGCTTCAGGTTTACTTACACCATCTGATCTTGTTCGGTTGTAGGAGTATACAGTCGCTGGAGCTGACCGAGCTGCGCCTCGTAGTCCTCGTCGCTCAGTCGGGCCATCGTCTCGGCGACCGACTGGAACGTATTCATCGCCCGCTCGTACTTTTGCGTCTGTTGCGGCGTCTCAAACTTGGGCGGCGGCGGATGGCCTAGCACTGACTGGGACAACTGACTGCGCCGCATCATCTTGAGCAACACGTCTGGGTACGCTTCGTAGATCTCTCGACTCACTGGGTGGTTGTGCGACACGACCTACAAAACCAACAGCAACAGCAAACAGCAAAGCACGTTGCACCACACAGTCTCGTGTCAACACTGCCCGTCACCCTCCCCCCCGTCTACGACACCACAACTGCCTATCGGTCTCTCTGTCTGTCCTCACCTGGTCCGTGACAATCACCATATACTTGGACGGGTTGTCTGCCGGCGTGATTTTGACATTGATCTTGGCCATGCAGCCAATCCCGCGGTACTTTTGTCCAGGACGAGTGTTCGCGCCGCGACAGCGCGCTTTCATCGCGTGCGTGCACATGTATATCCGGTGGTGGTGGATCGCTTCGTCCGGGAACTCGGCGCGGCGGCCGCGCGAGCTCTTGTTGTTCAGCATGACCTTTTGCTGGTTCCGGCGGTACGCTTCGACGCTGCAGGACGAGCGCATGCGGAACGGCTGGTACGTCTCCTGCATGTACAGCTCAAAGTACGAGTCAAAGTCGAACCAGGAATTGAACGACACGCGCGCCATGCGCTTGCTGTCAAACTTGACGTGCGGGCCATGGCCGTGCGGGTCAGCGCCCATGCCAGCCGCAGCCGCAGCTGCTACAGCGTCCTGCACCGGTACACCCGTCAAGTCGGTCTTGATCGACTCGGGCGGCGGTACGACCGCTGCCGCAGCGGCCGCTGCATCGAACGCGACGTCCAGACCCGCTGCCTCTTTGATGGTCGCCACCACGTCGCGCATCTCGTCGTCCTGAGTCGCCTGCGGGTCCTGCGCGGCGGCGTCGCCTGCGGTCGAGACGAGAGCCGCCACGACGTCGTCCTCGCGCACGCTGCGCTTGCCACCTGCCACGGGCACGTCATGGAGCTTGACAACGTTCTGTTCGTCGACCACGTGGGGTGTCGGTACGGCAGCGGCAGCGGTCGTGCGCTCGTCGCCGCTGCTTGCGCCCATGACGACTGTGGCCCGCGAACGGTTTAACAACTGCTCCAGTGCGACGGCTACTGCTGCTACTGCTGGTGGTGGGATCCACAAGTGACACATAAAACCTCGCCCCCTGGCGGGAAACAACCTCGGCTTCAGGTAGTCCACACAATCGTGTGGAGCACGCACGGTGGGGTGGGTGCAGGCGGGCCGCGTCGCGCGAAGGTTGCGCGAACGCGAACGGCCAGCTGCGCCCGCCAGCCAACCAACCGAGTTGAAGACAGCGCAGCCAACGGTGTGTGTCTGCCTCTCTCTCTCTCTGTCCGTCGGTCGGGCTCTGTGTCGCGCGTTCGCTTGGCCGTCACAACTTAAATCAGCAGTCGGTGCTCGCTCTGTTCTCTCTCCGCGCTCCGCTCTCCGTTCTCTCTCTGTCTCGTGCACGAGACGCATTACGCAATGGCCAAGAAATCGAAAGCTCGTGTGGCCGTAAAGCCTGCGCCCAGCAGCAGCTCGTCGTCGTCGGCCTCGAGCAGCGACGAGGCGCCAGCGCAAAAGGTTGTGGCAGTGGCCAAGAAGAGCAGCAAAGCTGCTCCGGCGAAGCCAGTGGCCAGTTCGTCGTCGGACTCGAGCTCGAGCGAAGACGAGGAGGAGGTCCCCAAGAAGGTCGTGACCAAGAAGGCTGTTGCCAAGAAGGAGGAGAGCTCGGACACGTCCTCGGACGCGTCTTCGGACGACGACGAGGAGGAAGTGCCGAAGAAGGCCACAACGGCCAAGAAGGGGGTTGCCAGCAAGAAGGAGAGCTCGGCCTCGAGCTCGGACTCGGACTCTTCGGAGGAAGAGGAGGTCCCAAAGAAGGCGGTTGCCGTAGCAAAGAAGGGTGTTGCCACGAAAGAGGAGAGCTCAGACTCGAGCTCGGACTCTTCGGAGGAGGAGGAGAAGCCGACGGCGAAGAAGGCAGTTGTCGCTTCCTCGAAGAAATCGGTTGCCGTGAAAAAAGAGAGCTCGGACTCGAGCTCGGACTCTTCGTCGGACGACGAGGGCGCCAAACCCGCTGCTTCGGCAAAGACTGCCGCTGCAGCAAAGGCGGAGAGCTCGTCGAGCTCGGACTCTGACTCTTCGGACGAGCAAGAGGCGCCGAAGCCGGTTGCAAAGAAGGCCGCCGCCAGCAAGAAGAAGAAGGAGTCGTCTTCTTCGTCGTCGGACTCGGACTCGTCTTCGGACGAAGAGGAGGAGACGACGATTGTGTCGAAAAAGCGCAAGAGCTCGGACGCTGGTGAGAAGTCGGCCAAGGTGCACAAGCAGGAGAACGGCGATGCAGCTTCGGTAGTAAACCCCCAAAAGGCTTTGGAGATCTTTATCGCTGGTCTCCCGTGGGCTGCAACAGAGGAGGAAGTGACCGAGTACTTTGCGGGGTGTGGTGAAGTGACTGGTGCTCGCATTCCACAGCAGAACGGCCGGTCGACGGGCACGGCGTTCGTGACGTTCACCACTGCTGAGGCTGTGGAGGCAGCGCTTGCAATGGACGGCCAGGACTTTGGTGGTCGTTGGCTGAAGATCCGCACGGCGGAGAAGAAGAACATGTTTGACGAGAAGCCGGAAGGATGCACGAGCGTGTTCATTGGCAACCTCAGCTGGGACGTGGACGAAAACACGATCCGTGAAACGTTCGGGGAGTGTGGGGAGATCCTAAGCTGTCGTCTAGCGACTGACCGTGAGACGGGCGAGTTCCGTGGCTTTGGTCACGTGGATTTTGCCACGACCGAAGCCGTCGACGAGGCTGTGAAACTCGCCGGCACGTACGTGAGTGGACGCAACATCCGCGTGAACTATGCGAAATCCCGCGACCAGAATGGGGGGCGGCGGCGGCGGTGGTGGACGCGGTGGATTCGGTGGCCGAGGAGGTGGTCGCGGTGGCGGGCCGTGGAGGCCGTGGCGGCTTTGATGGTGGTCGTGGAGGAGGCCGTGGTTTCGGTGGTCGTGGCGGCGGTCGAGGTGGCGGTCGTGGCTTTGGTGGACGCGGCGGCGGTCGTGGTGGTGGTCGTGGAGGCCGCGGTGATGGTCCGCCAAAGCGCCAGCCGTCTTCGATCCAGAACTTCCAGGGCTCGAAGGTGACATTTGACTAATTTATGGCGGTAGCGGACGGAACAAGGAGTCGTTGCACAGGGAGACGTTCATTGACAGCCACACAGCAATGCTCGCTCGAGTGTGCCTGATGCGATAGAGAAGGCGCCTCTCGTGTACGTCTGACAAGGTTGTCTTCCATTATGAGCTAATCGATTCCTTTTGTATAGACTTTTAGCATTTCCGTGACTTGTCCATTTGCATGCATCAAGTCTCATCAGTAGTCGTCTGCAGCTCCCGTTCGCATCGCGTCCATCGTCCCCGCAACAAGCGCATTTACATTCGCAACGCGTTCATGTGTTGTACCGATCCGCACCTGTCCGTCTCTTCCAAGCGTCACTTCCGCCTGTGACTGCGATCTCTGCTTCGACTTCGCCTGGAATGTTTGGACGATCGGTGTTTGTGCGACTTGCGTTCCTTCTTGTCCTTCTTCTTCTTCTTGTTCTTGCCATCGTGAGACGAGCGGTGTTTGTGGCGCTTCTGGTGCTTCGTGTGTTTCCGCTTCTCGTCCTCTGTTCGTCTCTCGATACCCGAGCCATCAGTACTGTCAACGCTGCGCGATCGTTTACCAGGTCGTTTCGCGTGCTCGCTGACACCTCTACACACGGCAGGATCAGCAGCACTTCTCGCGTCATTATCGGATGAACCCGACTGCTCTGGCTCCCCCTCAGCGACGTTGTGCACCAAATCTCCAGCACCACTGTTCCATGACTCACTGGGCGCTTTACGAGACAGCATAGAAGGAAGCTCTTGCTTGCTCTCATCAACTTTGCTGTCTCGTCTTTCGTCCCTGTCACCGTCACTTTCTTCTTCGCTGCTATCTTCACTCATCTCGGACTCATCTGAGGGCTCAAAAATGGATTTGAGGAGACCGGCAGACATTACATCGACTGCAGGCAACGGTAGCAGATCCTTTGTTTCCAATTCTTGGACATCGCTAGCAGCAACGGCCTCATTGCGATTGACCACCGGTCGATTGCAAGCAGCTCGATCAGCGGCATACTCCATCAAGCGCGGAACGAGCTCCTCATCGAACAAGTCACGCTTCTTGCTACTCTCATCACCCTTTCTGTTTGATCCAGTCGGCCCCACACACTTCACGTGAAAGCGCTTGCATAGCAATGACTTCGGAATCCATGAAGTCTCGGAACGACGCGACACCTTAGCTCGAGGTTCCTCGTTCTGCACACAGTCGCTTTGAGCTTCGTCCACTGTAGACGTCGACGCGACGAATCTCTTGGCAATCGACGCAGAAATCTTTGCACGAAACTGAGACCCAGCACTACCACGTACCAACGGCTGCCGGTCTTTCAATGTGCTTGACTCGTCGACCAAGGCAGAAGGAGTCACAAAGGGCGAGAATCGTCCCTGTTTAGCTCGCTCTGCAGCACTGAAAAGCTTCGCTTTTTGGTCTTCGCCGAGCATGCCGAACACACTCCCGGCTAGTTTGACAACTTCAGCAGCATCTGCCCCAGTGCCGCCAGCATCAGATCGAGCATGTTGACGGTCATCTCCAAGCAGAGCACCTCTTTGCGTGGCTGTCATGACTGCGCCATTTCCGGTCTTTGCTGTCGCGAAGTTATGCCTGCGATATATGGCTATCACAGCATCATCTTGGCCTTTATCCTCATCGAACCGGTGATGTGCATCGTATCCGGACGGGACAGCCAGACGCGGAATAACCGCTTCACTAGGCTTCTCGCTGGCCGCTGCCAGGTCGAAGCCAGGAAGCACTGAACGCCCGTCTGAACAAAGTGCTCTACTGCGTCGGGTCTTTCCAAGTCCATGGGACGCTTCTGTCGACGAACACAGTCGCTTGACGTCACTTTTCGTCCCAGCAGATGTAATCACTCGATCGAACTCAGCCATGGAGACAGTTCCATACACGTCCACATCATCATTTTCTTCCAGCGCACTTAGCCCATACTCACTAGTCGCACGATTGCTACCGTTCGTGATCTTCAAAGCGTCCACGAACAATACTCCTCGGAAATGTGACACCTCACTTTCGTTTCGCTTTGCCTGCTGCTGTCTTTTGTACAATGAAAACTCGGGAGCATCTGTATACGGGTCAAAGCCAGCTCCATACCGGTCCAACTTGGGCTCCGGAAAAGCTTTCTGCACGTCAAACACCTTTCGAGGTGGCACGTACACCTCCTCGTTATCTTCATCTTGTGTGTGCATTGTCGTCGTTTCCCCTTTATACTTGCGTCGCCGCACGCGTTGACCAATGCCGTGTCCTTCTTTCCAGCCCATCTGCTTCAATAGCTTAGCTCCAATCGATTCATTCACCGGCAAGGCCCACTCATCAGGAAGCGTAAACCCCGGAATTGCTGTCTCAACAGCTCGGCTTGGTTGACACTGCTGTTGCAGGCGTCGTTTGGCTCCTGTTTGCAGCGTATCGTAGCGCTCCGACGTCTCGAGGCGTTTGCCCAGCAGCGGATCGTCTTCCTCGTCCATGAAATCCTCTGGACGCTGCTCGACTCGCGACGGACGGTTCTCACGAGAAGACGAGAACTTCTGTGGCTTCCATCCCTCTTGGCTGCCCACAGAGTTGTAGTAGCCAGCAGAGAAGCCGCCCGTGAAGGCTCCGTGGAAGCGTCGACGGCCTTGAGCGTCCGTTACCTGCAGCTCTCACGCAGGAAAAGACGTGAGCATCAAACGATTTATGTATGTGAGCAGTCAACGACAGGAGTTGGACCGTTTGGCCCGACAGGGGCGACAGACAGCGCAAAGAACGACGGGACTCACCTCTTGGCTGCGCACATGACCGCGCTGCATTGCAAATGGTCAGTTCATGTGGACCACACACATGTGTAGCCATGCCGTAGCAATTATGTAGCCATGCTGTCTTCACCGAAAAAATAATGCAAACCGCCAGTTATTTATTTGTACAGGTACAACAGCGACATGTGTGTTTACGCGCAGACACCGTCATCCACACACACGCACGTCCTTGTGCGTGTATACTACGTATACGCTTCAACAACACGACCCATGTATTCCTTCGCCTACATATCTCGTCTGCACGTGGTACGCCACGCCACGTCGACTCGATCCGTTCCATTTATGAACATGTCCACTGTCTCCCACTAGTCCGCTACCTCTCACCTTTTGCCTTTCGCCCTCTGCAGTGAGCCGTCTGTCGATTGCAGACCACTAGTGCCCACTCGCCCGAGACAATGGCAATGGGCACGACGCATGTGTTGCGCAGCGTGGGCATAGGAGCGACTCGTTGAGCTTCTCGAGAATGCATTCGTCATGAAAACAATGGCCACAGGGCAGCGTCGTCAGTCCAGCCATTGCACAGCTGTCGTCCTTCTTGTCACCGCTCGACATTGAGCGCGAGCTGCTCGGGAACGCCGGGATGATCGACACGCAATAGTCGTCAGCAAACAACGCCTGGCGACAGAGGGAACAGTCGTCCAGCTCTTGGGTCGGGTCACTGTCGAGGAAGCTGCTGTCGCGGCCCGCGAGTGACAGCCGCTGCTCGCTCAGGCGCGTCCAGTCCGACTGGCCAAAGACCATTCCCTCGAACAGAAAGTCGTAGAGGAGCTGCGGGAGTTTCGTCGACGACACACTGCAGTCCAAGTTGCGGTTCTGCTTGGCCATGCGCAAGAGCGTCGAGACGTACGTCTGGAGGCCTGCGAGACGGCCTGCAATGACCGACGGACGCCGCGAGCGAAAGATGCGGCGCCGCGGGAACTGGTGGGCCGCAAACATGTAGAGCCACGGGCAGTTGGACGGGCAAAAGTGGCCGTGGTCGAGCACGCGGATGATCGCTTCCTTGAGCTCGCCAAACTCCTTGAATGTCCGCGCCATTTCCCACGACTGCTGCAGTGCCGTGTTGCTGATGCGCATGACGTACCGGGGACTGGCGAGCATGTTCTTGCCGGCCACAACGGCTTTGACAAACTCGACGTGCACGTTGTCCAGCAGCAGCTGCTCCATCGTCTGCATGGACCCGACACGCGGCGGCTGCTTCTCGATGCGGCGCTTTGAGAACGAAGAGGCGCGCGTCATGGGCTCGTCCTCGAGCGACTTGCGACGACGGGGCGGGGCGGACAGCGACTTGGAATGCCGTAGCGACAGGGACGCTCTTCGCTGGGACATGGCGAGCGACTGGACGTGATGAGGATGACGATGGATGCGGTACGGTACGGTCGGAGCTGGACGACGTGATCGGAAGTGACAGCGCTCACAGCGTACGGGATATCTCCTGCAGACAGATAGACACAAATAGACGGACGGACGGGCGGACGGACGGACGGGCGGACGGACGGACGGGCGGACGGACGGACGGACTGTGTTCCGGTTGAAGTCAATTCGAAAGTGTGGGCCGCGAGTGCATTTGTTCGTCGGATTGTTTTCTGTGCGATAATAGAGCGCAGCGTCAATTGCAGGTCTCCTACTGGCTCACTGGCGCAGTTTGGCGAGTCTCAGCGTGTGTGTTTTTGGTACGATATAAATATACACTCGAGTGTAGGCGTATCTGTAATTAGTATACACACAATCTCAGCGCAAGTCAGTCTTACGCTGTGAATCGTTTGCGAACAGTTGGGCGTCCGGAGCTACTTACAGTACTATCGCGGCATCGGAAGCCGACCGCGTCGGGCTGTCGTGACGCACGAGTGCGCACGCTTTTACATTCAGACGAGCACTTCGTGTTGACGGTCTCTACCGCCGGGAGAGGAGTCCGTATGGCGGAGCATCTCGTTTTTCTTCTCGACGATAGAGGCAGCCAGTGCGTCGTGGCATCTTCAGCTAGCAAAGTGAGCCTTTTTTTCCGTCGCGAGACTGATACGTACCCTTTCGTTGTTCATCCACTGACTGCGTATGCGACGGCCGTCACGGGACTCGAGCGTTTCAAGTGTGATCATTTGGTCTGTTTGGCAGCACCCGCTACGCTCGGGAGGCACCGGATGGTGTGTCTCCAGACGACCGAAATCGCTCATACTATTTCATCTCAAATCCCACGGATGGCCGCTGCTGACTTGTGTCTGGGTCGTGTCCCACCGCTGCCAACAACACGGATTGGCTGACATTGATGGCGTGGGCAGCAAACGTTCGGTCAGTTGGGCAGCACATGCCGTGCACATGCCGAGTTTGCGATCGGTCAACTGGATCCTGGAAACAATTTCCTGCCTTTTGTTTGCATGCAAAAGGGGACGATCGAAACGCGAAGCACGAGCAATTACATGACAGAGCTGCTTCCTACGCCAGACCTGATACGCATCGCCGCGTTGTCACTTGCCACATGTCGAAGCGTGTTGCTGTCGTGGAGAAAGATCCTCCGTCTAGCTAACGAACGGACCAACACGTGCTTGCCGCTGACTCTCCATACCACGAGAGATAGTGCGCGATGGTCTCGAGACTTACCGGAATAAACAAGTCATGTCATCGAGGCCCCGTGGGCGTCAGCAAGACAGGCATTACCAGAGACACGTCTCGAGTCCGTACCGTCGCAAATGGTCTTGTGATCTGTTGTACGGAGCATGCCTATGTACATGGAGGTATCGACGCGAGTTTCCGTGGCGTCAATATCTGACCAACGCATTCACAACGAGGGCCATGACGAGTTTACGTCATTTTCACCTTTAGTTTCGAGCTGTATCTGTGAGCGCTTCTAAAATCGCAGTTGACTTCTATCGGCTGCTACTGCTGCCGTGTTCGACGTTTGGCCTTGTCAAGGGCGTTTTGTCCGATTGAACGAAGCCAACTTTGGCTACAACGGCGGAGGTTGGCGATCGGTGGATCAGACAGACGTGTGTAATCCACAAAACGGGAACTTATCCGAAGATGACTACTGTAACGTCGCGTGCCTGGAAGACGCATTGGCTACTTCTTTGCATCGTTGCGCTTCGCATGACGTCATGTATCCTTTCGCTATGTCCATGAAACGTCACGGGTCTTCGAAGCTGTCGTAGATTATTGTGCGACATAGTCCGTGCGAAGTCAATCAACGCCCCGTTTTTTGCTTTGCGTCCTCGTGGGATTCCTCGTTCCTCATCTTTATCAGACACACTGCATGTTGTCTACCGGTGTGGTGTGTCCAGTCCATTCGTCTGTCGAGCCATACTTGCGGTAAAATGCGATGGTCCCAGGTGCTTGCCACATCCTCCTCAGTAGTCCACAGCTTGTGCCTGCCATGACAGGTGCGATATCTACTTTGTTCTCGTTTGGCATCTGCTGTACTTCGTCGGATGCTTCCAGAATAGCACATCGATCCAGAGCAGTACGACCGTCGAGAAGCACTGCTCGACATTTGATGGATGCCTCAGCTTGACGGAACTCTATCGATGCACTCCGCAAGGATAACAGTGTTCAGCGAATTCTTGCGCTTTTTTGGTAGCGGGAAGTCCGACGGTGTGCACTCTATCGTCGCTTGCAAAGAAGGTCGCTGATGCACAAAGCAGACTCCTGGTCGGACGCAAAGCTTTCACGCTCTTCCTTGTATCCTCATCACGCTTGCTTTCTTGCAACGCGATGGACATATGAAAGTCCGATCTTTCATAGTTCAATCGCTGACCCACGACCTCTTTTTTCGTTGTCGCGGTACTGTACAAACCCTTCGTTTTCGCTGCTGCAACTCGACCGCGGCACTTGCAAACACCGATCAACAGACTGCACTGGTGCTACGATTCAGCCAAGTGGTTGTTTGATACAACACTACACTTGTTGACCTGCTTGACGCTGCTGCATTGCCGTAGAAGATAACGACGAGATGGGAAAGCATAACACGTGCACAAAGACGAAAGGCGTATCCAAGTCCGAAGCGTCGATGAAGTCGCGATAGACCTAAGCCATCACTTGCTAACACCTCAATCGCACGAGCGCAAGCAGAATCACGAGATAAGCAGTATCAGGAAAGTTCATTGCCCATCACGTTCATCACGTTCATCGTGTTGACGCTGTCGCCTTTCGCAATAAGCTTCACAGGTGATGTATGTACCACCAGTCAGATAGATGGGCCACCGCACCGTCGTCGCTCCTGCAATTGCCTGCTGAATGAACGCCCTGTGGTTGTCTCACAGCGCTGACCGGTAACCTGCTGCTATTTCTAACCCGGTATATATATATATATATTTCAGTACATATGTATACATGTTTCGGGGCGAAAGAAGCCAGTACGTTTGCACCGAATTCCTGCTCCTTTCGACAGAGATCGTTGACATGTGTCTGTTCTCAGGAGCTGCCAAGCCCCCGCTCCGTCCCTACGTGGCTCATCTCCCCCTTCTCTTCTTCTCTCTTTTGTTTGTTTTTCTCGGCGAGCTCGTGCTTTTCGTGCAGAAATGCATACAACCTGTCCGACCCACACACTTTGCGTCCACTCTCGCCGTCTGTCTATCCACACTACACTCCTCCCCCCCCCCCCCACGATCGGCCATCCTCAGCTCCGCCATCGTCGAAAGCCATCATCAGCTATCACAGGTTTGCACAGCCCAAACCCGACCCGACCCGACCCAACCCAACCCAACCCCATCGCGTTGCAGCGCAGCGCTGCCATCTCACGATTTGACGACCCGCACGCCTTTCCGTCGTCTTCAGACACAAGCGATTACTCGCCCAAGCAGCCACGAGCCGAGCGGCTGTGTACCCCCTCCAGTGTACCCTCTCATCCACCCACTCATCTCCACTTCCCCCTTTTGCACCACATTTGCTCTTCCACCCACCGGCCATGAGTTTCCTCCTCAAGCACAGCGAGACGACGGCCGCAAAGGACAAGAAGGCGCCGGCCGCAAAGGACAAGAAGGCGCCGGCCGCTCCCCTGGCGGTCGTCACGTACCCGACGATCAACGACGTGGCGCTCGAGACGATCGGCCCCGAGAACATTCGCATTCTGCTCGACCGGCACACGGGCGACGACCGCGTGACGACGTGGGAGCTCGTGGACGACGCGCACGGCGTCAAAGTGTGGCGCGGCACCGTCGACCAGTGCGAGTGGTGCGCGTTCCGGGCCGCGTGCCGCATCAACGCGCGCCAGAGCGTCGTGGAGCAGGTGCTGCTGGACCCGCACCGCACGCTTGAGCTGGACGAGATGATGGAGGGCATTGTCACGCTGCGGGACGCGGGCGAGCGCAATCGGTTGGCGCTGCGCCAGATCACGAGCAAAGGTCAGTTCCCGATCCACGGCCGCGAGTTCCTCGTGGTCACGGCGGCGTCGACGCTCGAGGACGGGCGGGCGGTCATTGCCACGCGGTCGGTGGACGTGGCCGACGTGCCGCCGCTCGAGGGCTACGTGCGGGCGAACAACTACATCTCGGGCTACATTATTGAAGAGAAGAAGGACACTGACGAGAACGTGGTGTACTGCGTCGTGACGCTCGTGGCCCACGCAGACCTCGCGGGTTTGATCCCGTCGGGCATCATCAACGTGCTCGGGACGTCGTCAACGGTCAAAGTCCTCAAGAACTTGGAGAAAATCGTGACGACCAAGTAGATTGGTACTTGCTACGCAGGCGACACGCGAGACGCACGTACGGACGTAGTCGACGGGAGCCACTGCGAGACACATGATGGAACTGGACGACTCTACATTTGTAAGAGCTTAGAAAACAGGGTCAGTGTCAACGTACTACTACGACTACTACTGAGGAGTTGCAGCGTCACGGGAGTCGAGTGGCATCAGCTTGTGAGACGAACGTGACGCCGTGCAGCGACTAAATAAAGAACGACAACTGCGGGTTGGAAAAATCGACCGTGTCCATCCTGTCGGCGGACACGACAATCACAGTCGGGTTTGGTGGATCATGCAAAGACGGACCGTCGTCGGCCACGTTGTCCTCCCTGTCCTTGTTGCCAGTCGCAGTGGACGTGATGGCAGTCGGAGCAATAGTGAACACCGACTCGTCCGAGTCCGAGTCCGAGTACCGGTAGTCGATGTCGCCCTCCGCTGTGCTCACGCCCGTTGACACAGAGGTCGACAGCTTCTTCAAGCCTTCGACCACCGACGCCACCACTTGAGGCCGAGTCCTCTCAATCCTGCTTTCAGTCGTCCCTGTAGCGTTCATCTTGCTTCGAGCATCAGCGGAACTGCCGTCTGCAGACCTTCCGCGGGCGCTACTTGTCGTCGTGATACTATTGTCCATCTTCAGCTTGACTGCAAGCATCGTCGACTCGCGCTCACTTCGAGGCACGAGGGTCCAGAGATGCCGCAGTGTCTGCGTGCGCTTTTGCTCGTCGGCGTTCATCAACTCATCGTACTTGTCCCACGTGACATTGGCGACTTCGACCAGAAAGCTGTCTTTCGCCTCCCGTTGCGTCGGATCGAACTCGCTCTCGTGACGAGGCGCACAAATCCAGATTGTCACTTCCAGCGCATTTGTTGCAGACACAAGGCCTCGGCTCGGCTTGACGACGTAGCCCGACTGGTTCGACGTACGCACCCGAAACATAAGGCATCGATCCGGGCTTGAGTTCACGATGAAAAACGACCTGCTTCCCCACATGCGCGGTGCAGGCTTCACATCGAATAACAGCGCATCGTCCGGCTGAATATGGTAGAGCAACGAATTCCGGTCGCGCGTCGGCTCTGCTACAGTCGTGGCAACAGAAACATCTGAGCGAGCAGACACCATTGTGTCGTTTGTCAAAACCGTGCCTCGTCGTCCTGCCCTCGACGACACGCCGCCGTTTGTTACACCCGGCATCCTTTTTCCTGCACCTCCACCAGCATGCTCAGGAGGCTCAATGGTCGTGTAAAAGCTAGCATCGCTGTCGACCGATGCATGGCGACCTTGACACCCTTCGCGACCCGTTGGTTCCGAGGAGGTGCTGTAGTTGCTCCACGATCGACGAGATCCACGTCGTTCGCAGTAGCCACTGCTGCGAGAAGACGGCAACTCTGCTGCACTCATACTTGAGCTCCGCTGTCCACTGCGACTCGACCGAGACGCGTCTGAACTCGCACTTGTGCTCCTCAGGCTGCGCAAACCAGACCGCCTCTCGCTTGTGTCGACACCGTCTGCAACACCTGACGACACGGCAGCAAAGCGACACACCAACTTGTGCTCCGTGACGCGGTCCGTCGTCACTGTCTGCCAGCACTCACGCACCCACGTGCTCGACGTTCTGTCTCGACTCGCCGTCGCGTGGTCGTCGCACGCGCGCTCCACACTCTGTACGAGGAACAGCTCTGACGATTGATAGACCCGCATGTCCTCTGCGTCCATTGCGCGCACGCTATCGCACGTCGAGTTGCTGGCCGCGACTACCACGCGACAAGAGGCGCCCGGCGCTATTGCTCCGTACGTCGGTCGGACTGTAAAGGCGTCCGGATGGCGCGTGCGGACGCGGAAGATCACGTCGTTGCACGGCGAGAGGTTCGTGAGCGACAGGGTGCAGCACGGCCGTTGATGCGGTGCGGCCGCGTCCGGCAGCGGGAACAGCAGCTCGCGCGCGGGCTCGAGCAGGAGACTGGAGCCTACGCGCACCGCCGCCGTGATCATGTTTGGTTTTGCGGTATTTATGACCAATCGTCACGTCGGTGTGTCGACGTGAGTAGTGGTGGAATGTGGAGGGCGGGTGGTCGGAAGGTTGCGCGAAGCGTGCGATGCGGTCGTGTGCGGGCTCTGTTTTGTGTCGCTGGATAGAAATTGTGGGTGCGTCGCGTGAGGCGGAGTAGAGAAATGAAGTGATAAAAAAGCAGAGCTTGCTGGAAAGAAACGGGCGTCTGCACGCAATCGTGACGAGAGACGGTCCTTTTGATGCAAGAAGCGTGCACTTGCTGCATTGGTATATAATCAGTGGAACTTAGTGAAGGTATGGGCTGGTAAGATACATTTGTGGCCCGTGTTTTCGCTCAGAAATCGCACGTGCAAGTCGCATGCTGCAAACCGGTCTGACAAATTCCCATGCGGCGTTGGAATGCAGGAACGAGTCCACTCGTGGAACCGTTGACGTTTACTTACTCGATAGCACGCAAGTTCGATGCCAGAGCCAAGCGAGTGTCCTCCATCGACACAAATTATCAGTCGCGTGACATTTCCATCATCTTTCTCTCTTTTTTTGCCTCTTGTCGCACGGACTGCACATCGACTCAGTTGACCGCGTTCGTTAAATCGCATTTGCGTCGTCAAGAGAAAAACCAAAGCCCACCACAAAAACAACAACAACAACAACTCTAAACGCACAACACGATGCGATACCGCACCTTAATCGATTCCAAATAACAATTACCTCCGTTTGACGATAACTGCAACCGCATCGCTCGTCTCTATTCCGACCTCCTGTGACCCCAACCAGTGCAAATTGTGTCCATCTGCGTGGAATGAGTACCGAAAAGGACGAGAGTGAGCTCAAGACGCAGGCGGAAGTGGACCTGGACGACCTCCTCGACGGTAACCCTCTTCACACGCGCTATCGCTATCTGCAGACGTACTCACTTCTCTCTCTCTCTCTCTCTCTCTCTCTCTCTCTCTCTCTCTCTCTCTCTCTCTCTCTCTCTCTCTCTCTCTCTCTCTCTCTCTCTCTCTCGATGCTGTGACAGATGCGCTGGACGACTTTGCCGATGAGCTGAGCGCTTCTCAAGTCCCGGAGGTCTTTAGTGCAACGCGCGAAGCAGCTGCTGCTGCGTCTGCTAAGGCGGCGGCCAATGACGACAACAAGTTGCGAGAGGTTTGAGATACCGATGGGGAGACGGGCGACGAGCGCAGGGAGAGGGTCTGATGCTACGTCGTTGTTCCTGACAGAACATGGCCGAGTTTTTCGAAGATGCTCAGGATCCAGAGTTCCAGCAGGTGCTGGAGCAGGCATTTCGAGAGCTGGGGACTGGTGGTACGCGTAGCTTTGTGTGGAAGGTGCCATGGAGGCGAGAGAGAGAGATTGTGTGTATGTGACGGTGGCTGTTGATCTCTTTCTATCTGATTGTGTAGCGGATACGAAGAACATTGAGCAGCTCTTGGGCTCGTTGAAGACCGACACGACGCTCGGTGAGTCGGACGACGTTGATGCTGGAGTGGCCAAGACACTGCAGAACATGGCCAAGGCAGCGGAAGATTTCGATGGTGTGGGGTCAGCTCAGGTTGAAGCCATGGGAGAAGAGATGATGTCTGAGATGATGAAGAAGTTTGAAGAGATGGGTGAAAAGGTGCGGAGGAGGTTGCTTGGGACGCTTTGGGAGGTGGCAAAGCTGATGTGCAACGTGTGTGGGGTAAATGGTGCTGCCGGTTTATTGACAGGACGATTTCCAAGATTTGGTGGACGGGATGATGCAGCAGCTACTGTCAAAGGATGTCATGTACGACCCCATGAAGCAGATTTGCGAGCGGGTACGCTACTACGGCGAATAGTTGGTGATTGTTAGACATGTTTTGAGCCTTTTTCCGCTTTTGTCGATGTAGTATCCCGAGTGGCTAGCAGAGAAAGAGGCTCTGCTGCCAAAAGAAGAGCATGAGAGGTTTGCGCTCTATTGGCGGATTGCAACTTCTGTTCTGCTGCGGTCGGTAACACTTGTTGTTCGTGTGCAGATATAGGAAGCAGCACCAATTCTTTCAGCAGATCGTTGCTGTGTACGAAACGGAACCCGACAATTACACTCGGCTCTCAGGGCTGATGCAAGAGATGCAGGATACTGGCCAGCCCCCGACGGAAATCGTGCAGGACCTTGCTCCAGGTAAACACCCTTTTTGCGCTGATGTTAGAGTGCTCCAGTACCAACAACATTCGTTCTGCGTTCCTTAGGCTTGCAGTTTGACGACGAAGGAATGCCAATCTTGCCGAATGCGGTTCGTGTTCATCCGTGTTGTGCGTACAGCTGCTGTGAACATGCAATCCTGACAATGGTGTGACTCCTCAGGGCTCTAATATGTTTTCCGGCATGGCTGGTATACCGGGTATGTACCGCCAAAGCAACGTTTACTGCTCGTTGTGCTCCGTTGTGCATTGACCAATTTGCCTCGTTGTGTTTGGTGTTATTTGGTGGTTTCCCAGGCCAGGAACAGTGCACTGTAATGTAGATAGATCCCACGAAGCTCACAATGACCGCTGCTATGCCATTTGTTGCTACAATAATGCCGCGCTAGCTCCAAGAGTCCGGCCGGATCTGTCTTTGATCTGGTGTATGCTCCTTTCTTGGGTCATCAGCTCGACCACAATTGTGCACTTACCCCATGCGTCGTGACGGCAGAGTTGTGGACGAATTGTCAGGGCTGAATGCAGTCGACGGTTGGCTTGTTGAATGCTAGACCGCGTGTGAAACGATGGGACGAAACTTCGCTCTGGAAGCTAGCACTACCTCAAACACCCCAGTGCAAAAACTGCAGAACCTGACGAAGAACCAGCACACATTGTGCACTGATCGTATCCAACGTACCTGTTACCAGCTGCACGCCTTTTCACGCACACCCAGCCCGACGAATAGATGAGTGATCATTTGTGTCCTCGGCAAGCTGTCGGGTCTTGGGCTCTCTTTCTCCTGCGTGAGTAATGCCCGACGTTGTCCAGTCAGACAATGGATCGGTCGCCAGCCAACGCTCAACGGCGCTATAGTTCTATCCAGACGCACGAGCGATGTTCCATGCATCTGCTCTGCTGGACATCAGTTGATACTTTGGCTAAGTCTACTGGATGACATTCGATACACCGCATCTTATACCTACAACACGCAAGACCGATAGGCTGCATGTATTGCCACAGCAGTGCCTTGAACTCGTGGTCTTTGGTAGACTTAACGCATCATTAGTAAACGTCCTTACAATTCGCCAACCTGTATCCATAGTCATTGGTGTTGCAAATGTTGCGTTCGTAAGAGTCTTAGAAACAGGACCTGAGCTGGTAGCATTTCACACCCACTTTGTATCGGGACAAAACCTTGAAGAATGGCATTTGAGTACAAACATAGCGATGAGGCTGGCCATCGATGTCAGACAGGCCAGCATGCGGAGACAAAAGCGAGACAGCCTCTGTGCTACATCGGTAGGTTTCTGACTGTCACTGGAAACATGTACAAAGAAAAGCAGGAGCCACTAGTTGTATACCACGTTGAGCACGTACGATGACGATCGATTTTTTCTCGACCTTCGAGTGAGTCGCAGGCTGTGATAGCTTGACGGGCCCGACCAAGTGACAGTCAGGATTTTCTAGAGAATCAGAGTAGCAACATCGACGTGGTTCATTCGAATCCACTGAACAAAAGTATCGTAATGCATGCTAGCAGATTGGTTTTACGTGGCTTACATGACAGTGGAAGAGTTTCTGGGCGACTGTTTGCGGCGACGACGTCCGTGAAACGACCGCGCTGTGGTTGAAGTGAACACGATGTAGGGAGGCAAGAAATAATTTGGTTGTTTACACAGGAGTCGTTATGGATTATAAGCCCAAGAACACCTGTAGTCCCTACGCGCAATGAAGGCGCATCTGCGACACCGAGCGACCGCAAGCGGGCCTCCATGTCACCATCTACAGAGTCTGCAGAGGCAGGCGCGCATGAATTAATCGATGAAACCAGCAATGCGAATCGTAAGATCCTCTTGACATTGACCGCCATGCAAGATCGCATGGCTTGTCTCAAGCTTTCGCAGCTTGAGCGAGAGGAGGAAGAGCGCATGAAGGGAGCTCAAAAGACTGGTGTTTTCTAGTCAGCATTTAGAAGAAGTTTTGGATGGTCAAGAATGGAGACGAATGCGCTCCTTCACACGCCTCCACCAGTGAGAGCAAATGTGCCGAGAGCTCTGCAGTTTCAGATCTCGATGTAACGGCAGCACCAAGAGTATGGTGCTTTGAGGCAAGGCCAGGCGATGCCCCAAGCACCTGCGCCGCAGCGGGCACCAGCACCACCAAATTTGGCCCCTGACTACGTTCCACAACAGATGAGAGGCATTCGAGCGCCTGACACTCGCCAGAGAAAACTATCAATTCGTCCTTTTGATGGAAAAGAATCATACGAAGGACTAGGATTTGGTTTTCTTGATTGGGGTCATCGTTTCGTCAGGCAGCTTGGTGCTGGCCCAGATGAAATGTGGGTTTGATTGGTCTGATGAAGTCAAGGCTGATGTACTTGGACATCACCTGGGTGGTGCTGTGGAGCGGTACAACCATAAGCAACTTGAGATTTGGTGCCAAACAGCAACCTACTCTGCAGAATGTGATTGAATGCGTGCACTAAACGTTCCGGACGACAACTACCCAAGCTCAAGACAACAAGCCTTTAACTGCAAGGAAAGACCCGAAGAGGTCTTCGCCTGAACAATATTTGTACCTCGTCGCAGTGAGCGACGCGACTGGCGGTACAGAAGTGCTGGTACTTGATAATATTGTGCAATACGCGTCTACTGATTTGCGTCACGTCCTAATAATGGCTAAGCACGATAATAATCGTATACATTATTTGAGACACGCGGAGGGGCTGACGCACTTTGCCCAAGCAATTTAAACTGACGTGCGATGCACAAAGACTACTGGGAAGGATGTCGTACTGCATGTAGCGGGATCAAGGCCAAGAACAGAAACTAGGACTTGTTATAATTGCAATAAGGTTGGTCACATTGCGATGGATTGTCGTGGAAAGAAGGACAAGAACAAAGATAACCGACATGGACGCGAAGTTAACATGACTATTGCTATAGTCGATGATTTGACCAACGTTCAAAGTCAGTGGATATCGGACAGTGGTTCCAGTCGTCATCTTGTGGTGATGAGCGCATGCTGGAAGAAATCAAGTGATTGTGAAAGTGAAGGCATGCTACTAGATGGTAAAACGCATTGTGTCTCAAAAGTCGGTTCAGTCTTACTCCGAGTGCATGTTGCTGGTAAGCCCAGTATAATTCGACTGACTGATGTCCATCTCGCACCATTAATTACGAGTAACATTATGTCGTATGAGAAGCTGGAGGGAAAGGGTTTCAGTCTTACGTACGTGGATTTTGTTCGGTATCTGGTGCAGGCCAAGACTGGTATCGAGGCATTCAATGTTCAGATGAACAACCACGTGCTGATGGTAAAAGATGAGCCAGAACGTTCAGTCATGGCGTCGCGCGATTTTGTCATGTCGATTATAAATGAAGAAGCAAATGCCAAAGTTGATCTGGATGTGCAAGTTGACACGTTGATGGATTTCCACCGACGCATGGAACATTTGTCTTTCGACACCATCGAAAGTCTTGCAAAAGACCCAAGGTCGGGACTACAGTTGAGCGAAAAGGTGCGCGTGAATTGTTTGTCTTGTGTTCAAGGAAAACAAACAAAAAACGATCAGTCGAGGAAACATACTGGCAAGAATTCTCCAATTGAAAGAATCGGAGGGGTGATATGCAGTAATTTGAAGGGTCCGATGACGCCGAAGGATCGTATCGGTAATCGGTACCTGATTAACTTTATTGAGCATAAGCCAAATTATTACCGCGTATTTCAGCCAAGATCAAGGAAGCTGCAGCCAAAAAATTCGAGCATATTTTGGTGCTCTTCGAGAAAACGTTTGATTGTAAGATTCACATTCTGCGTACTGATATAGGCGGTGAATTTCAAAACGTTGATTTATTTCGCTAGAAAGCTGGGATCGCGCGTCAAGTGTCTGAAGCCAGAAATAAAGCGTCAAACGGAAAGGCAGAGCGCATGCACAGAACCATCTTGAACATGGCCAAATGTATGATATTGCCTGTGGACTACCTTCCGAGCCGCTCCAACCAAAATAGGGCATCGCCTATCGAAGTGCTGACGAAGAAAGTTCCTGATCTAAGCTCTATCGTGGCATTTGGATCAATATGCACGGTTTGCAGGGACCCAAGCAAGAATTCTCTTAAGCAACGAGCACGAGTCGGATTGATTGTTGGTAAGAGTGACAAGGTGAAAGTATATCGTGTGTTTTTGAAGCAAGAGAGAGTGGTCATTGTCACTCAGTATTGGAAAATATCGAGACATTGACTGACGCACATAATTCACATATTCAGCGTGGAATTAATATCAAAAATGGCGATGACATGGTGACGTTAGAAAGAGATGAAGCAACGCGTGCTTTGCCAGATATCGTTGTGCAAAAATCACTCGTAACAATAATCAGAAGAATTAAAACAAGACGTGGCAAAGATCGCGGTATGAAACGCACTCGAAAGAAACGTTTTCGCCGGATGATGATCATCAGAAGGAGATCATTACGACGGAAGTGAATCACATCACTAAACGTGATCCATTGAATGATGGAGAGGCTATAAGAATCCAAAAGTCGGATGAATAGGTTAAAGTTATGGACGAAGAACTGTCTGAGTTAAGCCGACTTGGTGTTCTGAAGTCATTTTTGGTCCCAGAGACGTAAATGCGCTGAACAGTAAGTGGGTATTTAAGACGAAGACTGACACACAAGGAAACATTGAGCGTTTTAAGGCCCGACTTTTTGCTTGTGGTAAGGATCAAAACTTCGGAGTTGATTAAATTTGACATTTGATGCAGTCATGGATATGGCAGCAGTCAAAACCATTTGGCTTTGGCGATTGTTTGGAAAGTTCCTGCTTATCATGGCGATGTGCCAAATGCCTATGCGCAATCTGAAAAAGAAGGCAGATTGGACATATACATGCGTGTACCTGGCGGAATGGTGTTCAGGAAGAAGAGCTCAAAAGTTTTGAAACCAAGACTGGCGACGAGCTCGTGCTAAAGTAAGAGAATATCCGGTATGATTTTAAACAGGCTGGGCGCTTGTGGAGCCAACTGCTTCACGACAAGCTCACTGAAGCTGAGTTTTCGCGTTGCATTACTGATATGTGTCTTTACCACAAAGTAATCGATGGAGGCATAATGTTTGTTGGTGTCTACGTCGATGATCTTCGAGTGACATCGACTCGTGCTGATTTTATTAAGGAGTTTTATGAAAATAATTCATCTCTGTCGATTAAGCAGCTTAAACGCGTCAGAAAATGACTCGGTATGCGCATTGTAACGATGGAAAATACGAGATTTCTTTTGGATCAACAACACGAAATTAGCGAGATACTTGTAAGTGCTAATATGGAATTGATTAAAGGGTAAC